AACATGTGTTGATAGGTTAGATTGTTCTAGAAAAAAAGTATTTTGTAGAGTATTTCAAGAATCAATCACCGCATACAAACTACAATCTTGCTGCCAATTTCTCGGGGCACAAAAACAAACCAGGATGGTATATAGGCCGTATCACTATGTCTTCTTTCAATGACTCAACATAGAAAAAGCTGTAAATTGAGATTAAATCCAGGGGACTATTTTGTTTTAATTCGGTCGAGAAAAATTTCGATTGCAAAGTGAGATTCAAGGAAACAAATAAATAATTTATGACGAAGAAGTTTCCGTTTGTAGATAATTCTCGATAGTTATGATAAGATCGAGTTCCGAGATCAATTATATGTATAATTAACCAAGAAGATGAAAGCTGCCAGTGAAAGATTAAGAAGTCACATTAACAGGCAAAGTAATGGCGTAAATGCTTCTTGAGCTCTTATTGGATATTTTAGATTTCGAACGTTCTATTATATAGTTATTCAATCTATCTGTATAGGGAGCTGATGTTGCTAAAACCATAGGCAGTAGAACCAATGCATGCACGACTCCTATTGTTAGAACAAGGAAAATTGTCTTGAAAAATACTAAAACCATATAGGAATTGATGAATGCCAACACTGTTACACCAAGTATGGTAGATAGAGAGCCATGCACAACTGAATTGATTTGCGAATATGATCAAGAAAAATTACTTTTTCATATACCTGGCCATGCCATTTTCTCCATTGAATCTATGCAACGTTCAGCAGGAGTAAGCTTGGAGTTTTCACTACTGACAAAGCCATGGGTTATATGAGCTACAAGATTTTTTTCGTTTATTCGAATGAATAAGCTGAATACCTGAAAACTCGATCGAGAACCCCATACTCATTATAATGGTTATCATAGAGATTGGATCAAGTTTCACGTCCCAGTGAGCTAGAAAGCCAATAACTCCTAAATGCAATTAATACTTCACAATAAACTGAGCTTAATAAAACCTATGTCGATAGTGACCAAAGCACATCCAATCCAAATGGAGCAAACAGGGTTTGATATGAATAGCAAAGAAATTATTATCATGCAAATTAATGCTAATGTATCACTCTGGACTGTAGATGGCAAGATAACATCTAACTGAAAGGTGAACGTTATGAGTTTACTATAAGCGTAAAGAGATGAACCTGATCAGCGATCGGGCGACTCTGTTGATAAGTGATAATATCAAGATCGGGATACTTCGAAGCTATGTCTCTCAAATTCTTCGTGACTCTTGAAAGTTTTTATTTGAATTACCAAAGAATGGAATGTAATACTTGACAAGGTCTGTCGGTTTTGATAACTCGTGAACCCCGATTCTGAAACGGAAAGACTCCAGTTGCATAGTGTCGTAATCACTAGCATTGCTCCAAACAAAGTCTAACGACCTAAACCATGCTTTTTATTTCGAATATTAATGAGTTAAAATCTTTACCAAAGTTTGTAAAAAGCAAACAGTTGACTCCATTCATACACTCCAATCACCCAAGATTCCCTGTCATCATTCAAATATGAACCAGTTAAGTTAGCATATTTGATATATTCTCTCAACCACAAAGAAGTTCCTTTCGAACCAAGACCTTCAATTGAAATATGTCTTCATCTAAAAATATGAAAGAAATCGTACAGAACTCTGATGTCTCAAAATCCTGAGAAATCATTTCAACTAAATCGCGGTTTGCTGATTGTGTCATATCCGGTGCATTCTTCACAACTATTTCAATCTGGTAACACGAAGAGGTTTGCAAACTATGAATGGTGCATTTGAACCTGATCACCTCCATGAAACAGTTCAATTTCACGAGTCAAGGCTTCAACCAAAGGATCTGTTTGAAGTAAAAGTTTGTCGAAATCTAATCCTTGGTCCATATTCATGATTCCTTGGATAGCTACCTTCAAAGACATTTTTTATATTCATGCGGTTCGAACCAGAACAAACCGTCAAATAAACTATAAATACAACACCAACAACGACTTTTGTTTTCCAGTTGAGTAGGAATGGGACATAATAGTCTCTTTAAAATGTTTATACTTCGATCTGTGAGGGCAGAATTAATACCTGAAGAAATGACCCATTGCTCCACGGCTTTTGATAGCCAACTCTTGTGTCGAATCAGAATCCGTTGTTTTTGAAGACTGAAATGATATTAAAAAACGTCTTAAAGTGTTACTAACGCTAACATCAGCATCTTGGAACTTGACTGAACCATTTTCAGAGAAATTTTCTTTTTTTTCAACTTGTATTGTCTTTTCTAAAATGAAAGAAACTTTTGGATTCAACGAAATGATAATACTCTTTGACTTTTTGGGTTTTTCCTTTAAAACACTTCCTTCTACATCATAGATATCGACTGTCTGGAAATCATAACGATTGTGATGAACGATGAGTGGTAGATGTATACCTTCAGACATGGAATCAGAGAGTTTTGATTCGTTAACTGATGTTTGGCTGAAATAACCATCAGAGCAGCAAAGAAGGTGATCTGTAATGAAATATATACTTAATGAAAATATATTCCATATATTACCTGATAAAGGAAAGTGAAGAACATACAGGCAGCTGTCATAGCACAAAATCCTTGAACAGCTATTATATCAGTAACTGTTCCTATAGCAAATGAGAAAACATCAGTAATTGATGTGATGAATATGGCCACAGCTGATACAGACATAGCTTCGACCATTCTTTCTTTCAAGACATCATGTGTTTTTCCTTTAATATTATTTTATTATCATATTGTATCCCTCAAAGCTCTCACCTGGATATTTCATTTCTGTGTTGTGCCAAGCAGCAACAGCGATAAACATATCATCCACTCCAATGGCTGAACACAAAGACAATTAACAACAGAAGAGTATCAATTGAGAACAACGACATCGGAACATTAACAAACATCAAATTAGTTTCAATAAGACTTAGTCACGTTTAAGCAGGGATGAGGTATTCATGTGAATCTTGACTTACACAGTACTAAGAAAGGAGCAATCAATGTGATTTCAGCGAAAAACATTCCACACCAGAGGAAAAATCCTATTCCACTGTAAAGATAACAAAATGAAAAGTAGACACAAACAAAAAAACCTGAGGATAGCTAAGCATGATGAAAGAACTCCTCCAAGAGCTAGCCAAGGCTTTGATCGAAGCCAGTCTATCCCGACTGAAATCAATCGGAAATAATATGAATTAAATGAAAAACCGTACTAGTCCAAGACCCATTAGAAGCTGTGAAATTCCATTTCATGGAATAGAAAGTAGTGAATAGAATGAGAACGGCAATAGTAACATTGAAATATGGTTTCAATCTGTTTGCATTGTTAGTTAAACCTAAATCCAAAATCCTGGAGTGTTTGATATGACACTGAAACGAAGCTCAGGACATTGAGATAAAACAGCAAATAAATGAACAAACCCTAATTCGTGGATGATCTGCACAATAATTGTGAACAAAGTCTGTTGCTTTATCTTCCCACTCCATAGATAGATGATTTATGTTTTCTGTATCAAATCGGAGGAAGTAGAATAAACGCATTCCTCTAGCTATCTGCAAATTGGAAGAATGAGAAGCGTACCATCTAAGCTGATATACCTTGATACTATCGTTAGAATACGTATCAACACCCCCAACGTTAAAAGCTATGTATACTCCAGTTCCATTTTGGTTAACTCGTGGATAGGAGACTGATATTCCTCTGTGCAATCAAATTGTTACCAAATACATGTCAAAGAACATACTTTGCCTCCAAATCGTGTCGTCGTTGGAGTAGAGTGATGATTCCCGTTTGACGGTAACATTCTCCATACCAATTCATACAAATATCCTTTGGATAAACAGTTGAGAGCTAATGAACAAGATGAAAAAACCTCAAAAGAGACTTTGTCCTTTATATGGTCCGTACCATTCCCCATCCATTTCGGATTCATAGGGAATGAGACGTTCATTGCAATATCATTTTCTAGTTCTTCAATATCGTTCAAATAATTATCTTAATATATGCATATATGTATGAGAATATGATACTAACACATAAGAAACCTTCTAATAAGTTCGGATATGATCCATTTTCATATGTTTTTCCATGTACAACAACATAAAGATAGCGAGTCCATTCAAATGTTCGTTCCGGCAAAAACTCGTTTTGCTGGACAGGCCAAAGCTGAAAATAGGATTATAAATCTAAATATAAGACAATGAAAAAGAATATTTTCTGTGTGATTCTTCAATGACTTACACGACTAAATGTTTCTTCCTCTTCCCAAGAAGGAGCTCCTACAGGAGTATAGAGCTTACGAGCATCAAGTAACGTTAACTCTTTTATCCGAATGAATCCACTTCCCAGAATGAGAGTCAGAATGACAGGAGATATTAAAAAAAACTGAATAAAAATATTCAAAAGTATAGAAATGAACTTAAAGCTTTACAATATAATAATCAACTAGAAGATATCTCGTGTACCAGGCTATTGCTCGTTCCAACGGCCTGTCCAACGTCGGAAAGAATAATCTCATGGATATGCTGCAATAATGTAAATTTTAAACTATTATAAAGAAAAAAGAAGATGTTTGACTGATGATAGATAAGAACAACGGGAAAAAGCAAGATTAAGCTAAAAAGATAATTAGTCGGTCAGAAAATCCTTTTAAGGTTGAACTTGAAAACTTCAGCTGTTCTTGTCACGCAATCATAGCTCGCCATTCAATTGACGCGATAGTTGTCCTTTTTAGTTCCATTTCCAGTTTTCAGTATCGTTCATTACTCAAAAATCATGAAGACAGTTGGCAACCGAGAGAATTTCGTTGAAGAAGAAGAAAAAAAAGAAAATGAGAGAAGTTATGAGAAGCAGAAAAGAGAATGATGAAGAAGTTGAATAACATACGAGGGAATAGAAAAAAAGAAAAAAAAGAAGAGGAAAGAAGAATGAGGTTGATTATATTTCCATTGATGGATTGCCAATATTCAATGGATAAATCCGATTGTGAGAGAAAAGTTATTTGAAGTCAATTTGACGGATGAACATGTTGTTGTCAAACAATCCTCTACTCGTTCCTTTCCATTATGAATGAGGTTCAATCACAGACATTTTTCGTTCCATCAATCCATCGTTAAAGTCAATTATCGGAGTTTCATAACGAAACGAACATAATTATCGGAATACTTGGTATAAAGACTACTTTTTCTTTAAAAAAAATATTTTCTTTCGAAGATTATGAGGTGAATGGCATTGGAAGAGGATTTAAAGTTGAAGCAAGGTCATAATGACTTTAGAACACCAACTTATCAACTTTTTCAGCTTTCAAGAAATTGAAAGAAACTCGAGAAGACATCAAATTTCAAAAACGGAAAGATCAAAATATCAAGAAGATGTTGGCGAGTTTGGAAGTGAATGCAACAAATACCATTCAAAAACAATGTTGTAAAAGAAAAAAATGAGTAAAGACTGATCGAAACCTCCCTAGTTGCATTCGAAACAGGAATAATCACTTTGATTTGCCAAAAAAGGAAATGATCGAAAAGTGGAAACTTTTAACCTTACAGGAATTATCCTAATTTGACTTTTTTGGTTCTCTCTTTGACATTGTACAGTATAGAAGCGTTTATTCAGAATTAAGCAGAAGAAGAAGTATTGAAGGAAGTTTGATTCGATTGTTCAACTGTCTTTTTCTCGAAAATTTCAAAAAACTACTCAGATTTACTAGCCGCTAAAAGGAAAAAAGGCAAATCAAGAAAAGACCCAACGGTTTGGCTGTGGAAAAGCATTAACCCGAATTCTGGATTTGAATTTAATCAGTTTAATCATATGAATGATAAAGATATTTCTAATGAGAGAAGAAGTTGATGAAGAAGAATGAGAAGAAGAAGATAAAGCCTGATCAACTGAGTTTATCAAATTGAAAATAAAATAAAACAAAGCATGATTATGATGATAGAGAAGGTGAAAGCAAAAACAACAAAATAAAGTTCATTTGTCCATCCGTAAGCAAACCAATCCAACCATAATTTGTTTGGAGAAAAAAATCAAAAAGACAACTGGTAGACAGTGTTGAAAAAGAATTTCCTCTTTTTCTTCGAGGCAAAACCTGCTTTTCAAGAGTAAAAAAGTTTGTAAGCAGATGAGGAGTGGAGGGCAGAACGAAAAAAAGAAAAAAGAACATTAAGGTGATGTTGAAAGAAAAGAAAACATAAAATTCAAAGAAAAGTTAAAAATGCAAAATTGGGAGGTTAGGCTAGTTGCAAGTTGCCAGTATAGGCAATCCAAAAGTTAAAGACGAAAAACGTAGAGAGAGAGAGAGAGAGAGAGAGATAGAGAGAGAGAGAGAAAGAGAGAGAGAGAGAGACAATTTGTTAAAGAGTAGACAGTTAAAAGAAGGAATAATATATGATCTGAGAAAAGACTAGAAAACTCCCGCTGTTTCACAAACGAGTCCTCAATGGACCACAACGAATTGGGCATTTGCCTCATCTTCTTATCCGTTCATCTCCTTTTTGGTTAAAAGAACACTAGGATTTGACAAAAGTGAGAACAACAAGATATTTCAAAGTTCAATAGAAAAGAAAATAAATATCTCCGACAGAGTCATGCGATCGAAGTAGTTAAGGGATGTGAGAAGTTGAAAATCAAATAAAAAAATACCTCAAATTCGTTTTTACAGTTTCTTCATTTGATGATAAGGTATGGCTTTCTTCTTCAATACTCATTCAAGCAGGCCATTATCCTCTTCATCAAATCCCTTCTCAGTTTTATTCATCTTCCGTGTGTTTAACAATGGTGAACTTGTAATTAAATTTCAAATACTTGCAATTGTCGCTTTTCTTCTCTAATCCTCACCTTGTTTGGCTCTGCTTAATAAAAAATGAGAGCAGCTGGTGAAGAATTACTGTTGTACCTTTCGGCAGTCGCATTCATAGGATATCGATGGGTCAATGGAACTTCCTGGCTTACTGACCTTCGTGGCTCGCATGTAACAGTTAACAAGAACTAACCTCATATTCAACTTATCGCTTACTATATCCTCCATCATGATTACTCATATTTGCCATTCATTAAGAAGTTATTTTTGTTGATTTCAATCAATACTCTGGCAATGGTCCAAGACGCTCCTTAACCTTTCCTTATAAGGAAAGCTTTATATTTGTAATGAGGCGGGACGCCATCTGGTCCAAAGTTCAAATATTTCTTTGACTCCTTGCTCAGTTTATCATTTCTTTGATTTTATTTCCGTTTATTAATATCTTCTTTATATATATTATAATATAAATATATTCATATAAAAGTAATTTGATTTCAAGGTTTCCATTAGATGGAACGATCTCTTTTAAATGATTCTGGCTGTCATTCCTTGATTCTTTCCGTTGGCAAGGCTAACGATGATGATAATGTTTGTTCAAATATTATTTCTTTTCTGATTTTTGCATAATTCAGTTGAGTGAAACAGCATTTACGCCTTACAAGGTTGTGAATTCTGAAAAAGCAGGTTTACCAATCTGTTCCTCAGTTATTCCTATTTTTACACGTAAAAGGAAAAGTAACTCGTTTGATAATCTGTCAGCAGAGGTAAAGAGATCAGCACTCCTCGTGGAAGATGATAAACCTCATTATTCTAGTCAGAAATATGTTAACTACGGTATAGTTAACACACTCTTTACTAACATGATTATTCTTTGCAGAATATATGGTTTCAAATAATGAATATGATTGTAATAATAATAATAATAATGTTAATGAAGAAAACTCGGAAAAAAATTTTTTTACCAAGGCCAGCACCTCGTCCGATTCGGATATTCATAGTCGTAAGGATTACAAATCGCTTTTTCTTTAGAAATTTTCAATCCAGCCTTGTCATTGTTGAACTCTCCTAATGAGGACGGTGAAGAAGATGTTTCGGAATTCCTTGACTCAGAATATATTCGTATTGTTGATGAAGATGGAAATTATGTTTTCTATAAGAAAGGAGAATATGAACATTCCTGTGCATGGACCAAATGCGAAGTTAGCTTTCCAACTGCTGAAGGATTATATGATCACATAATTGAGGTTAGGCTATGGAGGTTTTTTTCTTCATCATTTTAGTCTTTTAGACGCATGTCGACTATTTGAAAACTATTGAAATTGTTCCTGCCCAAGTCATTTGCTATTTCGATGACTGCGAAATGTACATAGCCCGAGGGGATCGTGAGCGTAAGGTTGGAGCGTGATGTTTATAAAGCATTTCCGATCGATTTGTAATTATAGTATATGTGGTTGGCCAAACATATACGTGATCGTCATTGTACTGATGCCCGTACCTATAAGTGTTTGATGGAAAATTGTCCTGAACGGTTTTCGTGCCCTACAAAACTGGAAGCACATGTCCGGAATGAACATATCCTATCGGCTCATTCAACCAAAAGTATGTTTTGTTACTTAATCCTCGTGACGGTCGAAAAATTAGCATATGAGGCCAGAAGGAAGCTTACGTAGCTAGCCTTATCTAAGCATGTAATAGAAGTGCGACAGTCACGTGGAAAGTCACGTGGACAGTCATGTGGACTGTTGGGCCTAACATCATTTCTAGTTTTACGTTCGAAAGGAGCGGTTGCTTTCCGATATTAGCTCATATTTCTCATTTTATTATAATTTCAGATAGTCCGAATGAGAAAGTGGAAAAGAAGAAAGACGCTCTCGCTGAGAAGAAAAGTTCTAATAAAGAGGCAAAAGGCAAAAAAATGGAAGGTTCTGGAGGAAAGAAGAAAGAAGAAGATGTCATTGAGGATGACGACTTTTACAATAAGGATGATCCAAACTCTTGCTTTGGATTGATGCCCATTCAGCAGCAACGTCGTGAGTAGTTTCAAAATCCAATTCCGTTTTACAGAAATTTATAGACCGTACAGATGCCAACCGATTTCTCTGGATGCCTTCCCATGATAACATCCTTCTTCGAATGTACCGAGATCTTCTCGCGATGAAATATGATTACTATGTAGTACCTAACCATCGCATCGGGGTAACCTCTTGCTGTTAAGCATTCATGTAACGCTGGCTTCAGGTTGGAGCTACTCATAGAAAGTCCCGAGCTGTCCAAAGAATACGACTATATCCCAGTCGGCCTATACAATATTCTTGCAACCTCAAGGAGGACTATGACAATTCATTTGTCAGCATCAAGACGAAAGCTGATCGAGTAGCTGTAGTGCTTTGCAAGCCAGTGTCAGATAGTAAGAAGAAGCGTTCTCTGAATACCGAGGAAGCCGCACCTTTTTGCAATCCATTCTTAAGAAACAAGAAAAGGAGAAATGTAGATCTGGCTTTGATCCGCAGAAGCTTACATGAAACTCAACATCTTCAATCAAAGGTAACATTTAAAATTCTTTCATATAGAAAGTTTGAACTTTCAGAATGAAACAACTTTAGACGATCTATTTCCGGGTTGGAATTACGAAGAAAAGAAAGAAGATCTCTGGACTAATCATCCAAATCGACTTCTTCTAGATAAATATCATCAGCGATGTGCTAATAGAAATGAGTATTTAAAAGCCGAAGAAGAAGTATATCTGAAGTCATGTCGCTTAACTGATTCTTCAGAGGAACTAGAAGAAGACATGTTAGAAGAGTCTTCATGCGATTGGGAAGAGGATAGCGATAGTGAGAGTTCAAGTGATGAGGATGAATGCAGCGAGGAGCTATCAGAAAACGAAGACAGTGACGGAGAAGACTGCGAAATGGAAGATCACAAGAAAGAAATCGAAGACTGCGTTTACTACGAAGAATATGCAGACGAGTTTGATGAAGACGATGATAGTGATGATGATGACGATGAGGATTATATTGGAGATGACATTGAAATGGAAGAAAACTGAAGTAAACCGGTAATTGAATAGCAAATGAACAATTTTCTTAAGTAGAATTTGCAGGGTGGCAGGAGCTCTTTATGTTCATATAGCTAACTATTAAGAAGATATGGTTTAAACTATTATATAATAATTAATTAGACGATTACATCTGTTTAAGCATAAGATCTCAAAAATAATAAGTGATCCTTATTCGAAATATCTTGTTAGTTCCTATTTTTTCCATTAATTGTATGGAGCAGCTATAGAGTTGAAAGACAATAAATATTACGAAGAAGAAGATTGAGCTGGATGTTCGTTCATATTCTGACTATATGTTGTTGCAGCATTATTTTGAACTGTAAGCGAGCGCTATAATACAAAAGAAGAAGAAAGCGATAGACCTCCACATATGCTGAATAACCCATATCTCAAGTAATTATAATATGGCTTAATGACTATCAGAGTTACCAAGAAATCGAAGGAACAACTTAATAGGATGATTAGAACAAATAGCTTGCCGAGTCCTTGAATTTTTCTACATTTTCACATGCAATAACAAATGAAATACCTTGTGTCTTTTTCCGGATCATTAGAACGCTGGTCAGGTAGGCAATACAGCACAGAGCCACTATCAATGGAACGATAGCCTTAAAAGACAAGATCATTAATTAGAAGAGTTTACTGAGGATTCCAACCTGTAGAGCAAATGTATGAATGAATGTTTTATGAAGACTACGTGACTTCTGTGATAAGTCAGCCATATTCTTATTAACGAATATAATGGAAAATCTCCAAAATAGACATAATATGAGAATTGAACAGAAAATCATTAGTATTATTAAATATGAAGCTAATTCCAGATGAGAAATATCAGCTGAAAGGTACGAGGGGACATAGATCAGCATACTTTCGCATTCAACATCCTCCTTTAAAATATATTTATTTATGATTTATAGGAATAACTAACTTTTTGTATTTTTGTCTTCACCTGATCCTGATCAGCTGGGAAAGACCATAATGCAGCAAATAAGGAAATAGAGCCGCTTATTACATAAGAGAATACCATAAGGACTAATTCGAATTCTCCATATTTTCGCAATATATTACTTTTAGGAAGAACACGTAGTAGACAGTTAATGCCCGAATGATAAATTGAAGATATGACACCTGGTATATATGGTGAACAGCAAACTATACTGCAACCTACAAGATATAACAACAATAGTTAAGCACAATCCCCATCTAGCTGATATGCCCATTAAATTGAAAAGGCCTAGTTGATGAAGAGTGTAGCATGTTTCAATGAAGTCAAAACAAACTAATACAGTTGTGATCAAAATGAAGCATTCGATCCTTTATTAGAATTATTATAGTAACTTGAAGTTGAAAAGACAAACAGACCATGAGATATGGCAAAGCAAAATGTTCTTATGTCGCCTAACTATACGTGGTGAGCACGTATGAACTACATAAAATAAAAATATATATAAAACTGTATTGAAAACACATAAAGAACTTAATACATTTCTGTATAAAGTTGACCCAGCTACATCGATTAAAGTACAATTTGATTCTTCGCACATTTGACCAATTACAGGTAGAGAGACAGAGGAGAATTTATTTGCTTGTCTTGAAGCGAAAAATCAATTCTGAGACTGCAAGGGGGAAGTAGAAAGCCGTCGATGTTCAAGCATTCACCTCATCTATAATTGATATCTGAAGATATTGAATAATGAAATGGAGGGAAAAGAGATTCAATGGGGAGACGATGACGATGAGAAGTCACTACACCAGTTTGTTTTTTTGTTATAATTCAATTGAAATATTTCGTAGATTTTCCAATCTGGATACTTCAAGCGTGAACAGGCGGAAGCAGCTTGTCCTTCTTCTTCACACCTCCCTCTCTTTCTGACTCCGTTTTTTCCCGTTTGAAACTCATTCATTAAAAGTTTTCTGCAAAATGGGATGGCAACGACAGTCGAATGGTCCAAAAATATTTTTTGATCAAATGTCCTTTTAGAGGAAATAGCAGGTACATCGTATGATATACCTTAATAATAATATTATTTCCACAAATAATATGTATGAAGACGGATTGTTTTGCAATGATATATTTCATACTAATTACATCAAATGGAGAGAAGCCGAAGCTCGTTCAAAAGTAAGTCCTTCTTTGATGAAAAATCACATGCAGATGTTTAAAAATATATTTGAAAACAAAAAAACGAAAAATGTTAGAATGAAGAGAAAGAGGAGAAGATAGAAGAACAAATTATTAATAAGAAATGGTTTCTTACTAGTCATAAACGTTCATACGAAGCACATTTGAGAGATCAGAACATAAGAGACTGACAATGTTAGTGAAGATGTTACAGCTTATCAAAAAGCTCATCTTCCATATAAGGTGAGCAAGCAGATATTTTCAAGCATTTTACAAAGCTTTTTCCAATTAGTTGATTTTTCTAAGAAATTTGGAAAAGGAAAAAAAATAGAAAAAGAAAGTTAAAACTGTTGTTGAACTGGCTCAGAGCGAGATGAATCAGTTACAGCTGGCTTCTTAACCACGTAATCATCACGAGTGAATTCACATGGCTCTCCGCGAATGAAAATGCAGAAGAAGATGTTTGCAACAAGCTAAAATCATTCTTTTATATTATAATTATGTTACGGACTAACCATAAATGCAGCTACCAACCAAAATACCCATCTCCACTCCTCTTGCGTGTTATTTGGTGTTAATGAGTTAACAATGAATGGAATAACGACCATAGTAATTGTGATTCCCAAAGATATATTTCCGGTAACGAAGTGACTAGAATTCGGTTTCATTTACTTTACTGTTCGCATTCTTGCTTTACCTGTATTGACGAGAAATTACAGGACCGGACTTGAAGAAGCCTCCGGTTGTAGCGCCGAGAACACCGGCAGAAGCTCCAAGCATCAACATGTTAACGTTCTGAAGATTTTTGATAAATATGAAATGATAATATTAGCTTACTTTGTGTTCAGTTCCCATGAAGCCGAGAATAGTTAATCCCAATCCACATCCGAGGAATGCCAAAGTGTTGAAGAATCGGAACTTGTTTACTTCACTTATGAATTTGATACGATCAGAGACAGCTCCTGAAAACAACAAAGATCCTTCAAAAGATATTGAAACTCTCTAATCCTACCGCAAATAAGTTTCGCCAAGAACTGTGCCAAAGGTGGGAGGGCAGCCGATATTCCAGTTTTGTGGACGGGGAAGCCGAGAACTGCAACAATAAAACGATTAACAACAAACAAAGACAAAGAAAAGAGAATGCAACCGAGTGTTAAAAACGAAAAGTGAAAGATGTAGTTCACGTGGAAATTCACGTGAACTTCATGCTAATGCCACATTCAACATAACCTTTCAAATTTGATGTTTCATGAATTTGATACTTGGAAGATTCTCATTGAGTTCATATGAACTATATATCAATAAATCACCTGTTGATAAGTAAATTGGTGAAAACAAGAACATCATGTTGACACAAACGAAGTTTCCAAGAGAAGCCACCCAAACAGCCCAGACGGCAGGCGTTTTGAGAATATCTAAATATGGCACTTTCTGAGCAGCTCGCTTGCTGAAAAAGGAAATGGTACATGTGATAGTAACCAGATTAGCCATACTCGACAACTTGAGCTTTTCCAATAGAAATCTTATTCAATTCAACATTTCCAACAAATGGATGTTTGTTTGGACTATTCCGGTAGAAAATTCCGTAAACCAAGAAAAGTACGAGAGTAACAGCTCCGTGAGCATAGAATACTGATGGCCAGCTGGAAAACAATACATATGATTTGATTCACATTCAGAGGTATAGATAATGGGAAGGGAACTGGAGAGGAAGGAAGTGGACAAAAATGGAAAATGTACCGGAAAGCTTCGCACAAAGAACCAGATACAGGCATCGTGATGGCTGGGGATAATTGCACGTAAGCAACAAGAGCTGACACGAAAAGTCCATTCTGATATTGGAAAGAGCAGATGAAGAAGTCTATAGATAGTTTTGTACCTGTTTATAATAAGCCCATTTGGCACAAAAAGCTCCAATCACAGGAAAATTCGCGGCAAAAGCAATTCCTTGGCAAATACGGGCAACCAGCAAGTATCCATAGCCAAGCTGGAAAAAAAGTATTAAATAAATAAATTGAAAATACAAATAAAAAAAAGATTCTGTATTGTATTGAAATTTGAAAATAAGTAAATATCTAGTTAGTATAAGTGCTTACTCTTATGGCCACAGGCATGAGAAGAGTAGCACAAGCTGATAAAATTCCTAGCGCCGTGAAAATGGTACGAATACCAATACGATTGACCAATTGTACGATAGGAAAATTTCCAACAAGAGCAGCTATAGCAACAGCAGTGATGGCCCATGACTTTTCATCTGAAATACGATAAGATTGAATTGAGAGAAGATTCAAAAGGATTGTACTTGATGTGAATGTGAAAGTATCTTTCTCGGCAGTTCCATTGATGAACGTCATGTTGATATCATCCTTTGGGCTCATACAGATTACAGAAAATTGAAAAGTCAAGATGTTTGACCTGCAATGTATTTTTCTTCGTTGAGATTTTAGTCTTTTAACTTTCAAACATAAAAAACAACATCAAACAGTAAAAACCGTGTCAAAGAGAAAATTTTCAAAGAAAAAACCAGATTTCAGTGAAAAGACAAAACAAAATTTGTTCGAAACAATTATATTCATTTAAAAATATTTTTATCTTTTGAAACATACTTTTGACATCTTTTGACACTTCTTCTTCTCTGTTTCATTTTCTTAAACAAAGACAATGACTCACCAAATACTAGTTAAGCATAAGAGTACAAGGACCATAACGACGAAACGGGTGCGAGTACCAAATATGGCAATGTACCGAGCCTCAGCCGTTTGTTGATTAGGAAACATTGATTCTTCCATTATTTGAATCTGAAATAAGAGTATGTGTTAGAACAAATACAAAAATGAAAAGAAACGAATATAAGAGACATCTTCTATATGAACCTTATTAGGTAAAGTATTAGACAACACAACGATTCTTGTTCTCACCCTCTCTCTCCCAACTCTCTGAAACAAAGTGAAAGAAGAAAAGTAAATAAAGGAAAAAAATGATTCCTTCAGATCTCTTTTTCTTCAAAGAGAGAGAGATAGAGAGAGAGAGGGAAAGAGAGAGAGAGTAGTCTGTTGTCCAGGAAAAATTCTTTGTGAAAACCATCAAAAACTATGTTTAAGAGAAAACGGAAAAAAGATTCGAGACGGTAATTGATAAGGAGAGATCTACGAAAGAAAGAATGGGCCATGAGAGAGAGACAGAAACATAAAATCATCATAATCGTTATGGGATTCTCTTAAACATCAAGTTCACGTATAATACGTGAAGACGCTCGTGATGTTAGTCATTTAAAGAATTAAAATAATAGTTTTTCTTATTGTAATATCAAGTACAACAAAAGAAGACGAAGAAGAAGGCAGTAGAAGAGAGGAAGGGGGGATGACAATTGAATCAAAATTAGAAGGTGAAATGTCCGTTGTCGTTACATTTCAAATATCTGACAGACAGTTTCGATGGGTTGGCCTAAGAGGGCGGAGGCTTTTCAGCCCTCTCTTCCTATCATGAAAAATAATTTTAAAAGCAAAGAAGGCGGAGCCTAACATACACACACATACATACACACAGCACAGCTGGTAATGTATTTGGTGATACAAGTCATAGGTAATGATTTAGCAAACTTACAGATCATACGGATTAACAATCGAAAAATGAAAAGTTTGAATTTACAAAAAAGCTGAAAGGAACTATCATCAGCTCAACATCAATCATTAACTTTGCGATCAAAAAGATTTTGTCAAATATGATCATCAATCACACAATCACAATAGAAAGATAAAACTCCATTTTCATAAGCTGTTTATAAAATAAATAAGGAAATGTGTTAAAAAGGTACAAATATGACAATCAAACTCGCTCAATTCACATATTTTTTGTGTTGCTCTCTCTATCTCTACATCTCTGCTACACTCTTCAATTATCATTATCTATCTACCATATATGTTCATAGAACTCTTTTTGATCTTTGTCTGACCATATCGTTTATTCCCAAAAAATAAAAATATATATATCGATTTAATGATATATTCAATCGATTATGAGAAATATTAATAAAAATTCAAAAAATGATCATGCACTTGAGAGAGATGGTAGCTACGATGCTAAAACATATCGCTACCGTACGCTCTATGGGAAAAGGTAATAAAGGGTCTTCAAGTGAAACTGTAATCATCCATGACAAGTTCAATGTTCAATAGAAAATAGCTTTGTAATGAATAAAAATAGTTTTCTTTGCAAAACTTCTTAGAAAAAAGAGAAAAAAAGCCAAAATGTACTGTATAGGTCTTAACGATTGAAGTGAGCTGAAGGAATAGAGAGAGAGAGAGACAGAGAGTTGGAAGAGAGGGGGAATTCCAATCTAGATTAGGAAAGATGATAATCATGTTGAGATATGCAAATCAGCAGGAAATGACTGATTCATTGATTTGGAATATTTTGACAGATTTTCCTAAATCAGGATGATATTCATTTTAAGGTGAAATGACGATTTGTGCCTGAAGATCAAACAGAATTTAGAAGATGGAAGATAATATATTGTTAAAATAGAAATATAATCGGTTTCATGTTTTGCACCGAGGCTTTAACTATTACAACTGTTTTTTGTCATTTAATTTGTTTATTTGTTTTGAAAAGACATCTCTTAGAGCATCACTATGTAAGCAGACAGAGATCAAAACGAATGAATGGAGAAGAAGAGCATAATGGAGCTCTTACCATATTCAGCTATAAACGATGATAATACCATTCATCTACAACCGTTCTTCACCTTTGCTCATAATCAAATGAATCAGCATCATTGTAATGAATACGTGAAACCGTGTTGGTCACGTGAAATTCTACATATATCATTAAGATGACGTGAAAGTGCAAGACAAAAAAAAAAAAAAAGATTAAGATGAATGAAGGCACTAGAAATCATATTTTTTCCAAAATCTTGGACACGTCCTTATATAGTTACTTGGCAAACAATGTTATAAATATAACGTTTATACCTGATAAAATAGAACAAAATGATGATCTGACAAGAAAGTTTTTCATTTTTTTTTTCAAATTTCTTTTCAAATAAAATTTGAAAAACATTTCCTTTTTTGGTGTCATAAATGGATGAACATGTTTGAACTATGAAAATGCAAAGAGTTCTAAGATGATTATTCGAATTAATATTCCATATATAGATAGACAATATGCCGAATATGGGCAAGATTTTTAAAAATTGAACAGACAAGATGATAATATATTCGAACTTCCGGTCCAATATTTCCAGAAATGACACAATAGGAACATGAAGATGATCATTCAAAAGCTTGTTATCACATCATCATGTGAAAGATCATCAACGTGATCTTACCATCAATATATTTGAATTAAAAAAAACTAAAAATATTTTTATAACTTCCATTATTTCATATGAAAATGAAGAGGAGAATGAATACAAACTTGTTTATGGATTATAACAGTACAAGATCAAGCTGGCAAATCAAGAACTTATGCTTAATTACCAGATTTGAAGCTTAGATGTATTCGGCGAAGACGAATCTTTTTTTTTATTTCTATTTAGTGGTAAAATAACAAGGAACAACTGTTTATAAACAATGAGGATTTGCTAAAGTAAAACTGATACAGAACGAGATTCAAATTGTTCAAATACTTGGTTAAAGGAAATGAAGGAGAGAGGATGGGAAAGAGGGAAAAGAGAGGAGATAAAGGTTATAATGAAGAGAGTAACTAGCTATATGGCAAGACAAGAGAGAGCGGAAGAAGATGAAAGAGATGACAGGGGGGGGGGGGGGGCGGATAAGAGCAAAATACAAAAAACAGAGTGGCGAGAGACAAATACGGGAAAAGGGAAGGGAACAACCTGTGCGACCTGCTTAACTTAAGCCATAATCGCTTTTCAAAGTTCAGGCTACAACTTAAGCTGTGCAGATTACATTTTATTTTAATCCAAATTATGGATATGATCCCATATTACTCATTCATTTTCCTTTTTCCTGTTCATTAAGTTCATTTATGTAGTTGGGAATGTGTTTTCATCTTCCGTTTTCCCAAAGTTTCTTTGTGACTGAACGTTCATTCGTGAAAATTCTTGACGATTAAGCGTTTTGTAATCATTATAAGACAATGTGTTGTTGAAGAAAAATAATAAATATGACAAGACAGACACTCAAGATACTGTAGAACAATACTTCTTCTTTCAAAGAAACTCTCAGATAGATAGAGAGAGAAGAGTTTTGATTTAAAATATCAGAGATCTTCAATGATTCAATGAAACCTATTCCAAGGTTTGTGTCACGGGGAGAGGGGCAATGGATTGCAGAGCGAGAGCTATAACGACATGTTGGACATCTTAAAAAGAAAGATCTGTAAAAGCCGACAAGGCAGTGTTCAATGTACTTTCACAGCTTTTCGTTCCACACATCAAAAATCAGATAAGGCTTTACCCCATCATACACTGTGTTGTTGCTTGTGACCTGTTGTATGATTTTACCTTCACTTTTCAATTTTTATTTTCATCCATTTATGGAAATCATTATTTCCGGTCAGAAATAGAGCGAGGGAGCTCTCATACATGCCCTCATAATCACTCAGAATTACCGAAAAAGGGTTAAAAGATCAAAAATCCAAAGATTGCATTTGAAACTTCTATATGATTTCTCGAATGAACGCAGCTTCTACATGGCATACTGTACGTGATTGTGTTTAAGAAAAGTTTCTTAACAAAAAGATGGTTAGTTAAGGATAAGCTGCCAAAAAACCTATTTGCTTCTCATTGATTCTGAGATTAAAGAGCAAGTGATCTGTTTAACTAAGTGTAAATGCTTTGGAGAAACTGAGTACTGTTGACATGTCAAATTAATAGTTGACATCTGAGTTCAAAGATAAAAACGTTCTTTTCAGCTTCTCAGATGGGCACACGAGGTATACGGTAGAAACGAAATGTTTAAATGTCAACTTGTGTGAAAATATTAAAAACGTTTTGTATCAAAGGGACAGTTGAAAACAGACGATGATGATATGTAAAACCATTAATAAGAGGATTATCTCAAATTAATACCAGGTAGTTTTTAAACGTTCAAAGGTAAACTCTCTATAAACAGGTTCACATCTCTGTTGTTGTTCTCATTACCGACACACAAAAATGAAAAAGAATTGACGAAGATGGTTATTTCATTTGAACTTGCCATAAGCAATCAACACGCACACACACACACATACATACATACATACACATACAACGAATGAATAGCTCCAAGGGACCAATGTAGAAAATACATTTTCATCTTGATCTCGTCTCACATTGACCAACTCAAAGCAAGAGAGAGAGAGAGAGAGATAAAGATAAAAAATTAGGAAAAGAGGGAAAGAGAGAGAGGGACGAAGTTAGAGAGAGAGAGAAAAAAGATAGCGAGAGAGAGGGATGGTTGATAAGCAAAGAGGAGAGACTGACGGCGAGAAATATCTTTTCCCCTGACCATCCTTTGGTATTTTACAAATTTTTTTTGCAAATCAGTATCGGGAAGAGTTCCCGTTTTTCTAATAATCTCCAGCCAAAAACGGTCTTAAAGAACGAAAGGAAGTACGTCATCGGACTATTTCAAATCAGAGAAAACTGAAATGGATGTGAAAATGAGAATGTATTTCATAAAGACAAAATTATATAAATTATTTTTGTCCATCTCATGATGACCTCTCTCTATCTCTCTTTACATCACTCTCTCTCTCTCCCTCTCTCTCTCTCTCTCTTTCTCTTCATTTTGGACTTGTAACATTCTTCACAGAATCTTATAGTTTGGTCAACTAAATTTATTTTTTCTTAAAATAATATTCTTCGCCTAACACGAGCTTGTCAAGGAAGTATCTCTTTACCATCTACCTCTCTACCCTTCCCCTCTCTGTCTCTCTTTCTCTCTCTCTATTGTTGCTAATTAAAGAATATTGTTGAGGATGAATGTTATTTATAATGTTTTTTATGACATTCTATTTGATAAAAAAGGAAAATTTGATTTGAAATCCTATTTTTAGAAAGTAAACAAAAATCTTTTTTTATTGGATCGAAAGGAAGAGGGACAGCACCGATTTTCTCTTTTTTTGAGTAAATATTCAAAGAAATTATTAAAGAATTATAAAATTAACAAGATAATTCAAATATTTGAACAAATTATTTACAAAAAAGATTCTTTTAACTTCAATCTTTTCTCAATCAAAAGGGATGATAATGGTTGGCTATGGACGAGGTTGAGTGAGGTTAAAGGGTAACAGGCATTTATGAATGTTAGGAATAACATAGTTAACGTCAATTATCTCCCTCTCTCTCTAGTTCTCTACCTCTCTCTCTCTCTCTCTACCTATCTCTCTATCTCATTCATATAAAACAGTATTGGTAATGTGCATATGAAATCCTTTACTATCAATTATATACATGAAAATACGATTCAAATCACTAGCAAAAAAAAAAGAAGTGAAAATATCCTAAAAAGGTAAAAAAAAAAGAAAACAATTTTCGATCTTCAATGGAAGAGAAAGAGAGAAACTGAGCAAAACCGAATCATTTTGTAAAATGAAATGTTATTAAGACAAGTACAAATAGTATCAAAAGTGATGACCTGTATGATAGAAAGCAGAATTTTTCTAATTTTTTCGTTCAAACGACGAGACGAGGGAAATTCAGAGTGGGAATCTCTTTCTTTTGCCTGATTAGCTCATTTTTAATATAAAAAAAGAAAAGTTATTAGTCTAATTCCCTAGATGGATATATATATATATATGTGTCAATTGATGATGTTTGTTGTTCGAAAAAAAATAATTTTTCTTGTCCGAATTTCCATATTAGTCAGTTAATTTGTGGCGACTTATTGGCTATGTCGATGAGCTGTTGGAACTGCTATACTTACAAGACTTAAAATGAAATTATTGGTTTAAACTAGAGACAGAAATAACGTACTCGTTGCCAGAATTGGTAGTTTGAACTTCTTGATCTCCACTAGCTTCGCCGTTTGCTTGATGGAAGACGGATGTTGTTCGAACCCTTGGATTAATAGGAACAGCTCCACGTGAGTAGATGTTGTTGAAGGCTTCGCGAAGCTGAAAAGTCCCTTATCAATTTTCTACATGATTTCTTTTGTTAAAGTTTCAAAATTAAAATGAAATATACTATATAAAGCAACCGATCAGAGAGAATTATAAAAATTGTAAATGATTGATTGTGACGTGTCACGTGAAATTTGCACTTGAACGTGAAATATCGAATGGCGGCGTAACGGTACAAAACAATCGTAATAAAAGACATTCACATAACGATCATGAACATCCAACTGGTTTTAAGTGATTGATCATTTCAATTAAAGACAACCAAGATCAGCTTTTCTTTTTTTCCGTTTGATAACACTAACCTCTTTTAAAGCAACAACTCCGACGAGACGACCTCGTTCAGTTACATAAGCATGGTTCAATGCTAGCAGAGAGAACAATGTGTGAACCTGAACAAGCAATTTTTTGATACATTTTGTGATAGTCTTGTACCTTGTATAATGATGTTCCACGAACTAACTGGAATGGTGCTGGATCTATAGCAACATCATCCAAATCAAGCTTGGAGGCCAGAATTTCGGATCTGCGAGCGAGAGTTGGCTGCAAGAAAAAATTTAGATGATTATAATCTTTTCTTTCCTTACAACTGAGTTAGTTTGTTCATTTTGGCTATAAAGAAGACCGGCCAAAGGTCCGCGAGATCCACGATCTTCATGAAGAGGTGAGTGAGCCAAAAGAGTATTTCCACTGATTTGGCGATCGGTTAGCACTTGGTGGTTGTTCAGAGCATGAGTAGCATTAGTGAATGAAGATCCTCGACTAAAAAATGTTCAGAAGTTTTAGCTGTTTAATCTTCTGATCTACCGGAATGGAGCAACAACGTTGAAAATTTCGGAAGCTCTGCGGCTTCTACGCCCAGATCGGCTCAAGTTGACTGGATCTGGTCCCAATTTCTTTTCCAATAGATAGATGAGATAGCGTCTTCCTACACTTCCCAACAGAGCCATACTCTCTTTAACAGAAAACCATTAAGATTAACATCAGATATGCTTACTTCTATCAGAGACGAAGGGATACGATCTTAAAGATGGAGTTTCCAATAGAATTTCACGAAGCTCGCGATATGTAGTTTCCTTAGTGATGAAAACAATATCTCTCACCATGACGCGGTCCACTTTCATTGTATGCACACTGAGCAGAAGAGTTTTTTGATTTCCTATAGTTCCAGGTCAAACATACCTAATACGACTAGGAGGTAAATCTGCTAGATACGGATAACCCTGAATCTTGATGATGCTTTCGTAAACAGATGGCTGTAAGAAACTACTGATGGCGTTGGCAACCATGAGAGCAATCTGAAAGAAAATTACTTTAAAACTTTCTTTGAAAACTCTGTTACCAAAACAGGGAGAAGAGCACACAATTGACCAGTTGTTTCGCATACGATTACTGCTAGAGACAGCGAGTGAGTCACGGAACCCGTAAAAGCTGCCGCACCTAAATTTAAAGTTCAGAAAAACAATATGTAGTTTGCACTCCATACCGACAACGGCATAAAGACCAGGATAAATCTGTGGTCCATCAGCACCTCGGAAACCTTCAGGCCAGAAAGCGGTTAAAATCTGGAAGCATTATGATGATTATAAAAAAGTGATATAGCTTACTTCTCCGAAAATTCGACCTCCACAAGCTCCAATAACGAAACAAGGAACGAAAATACCTGCAGGCCAGTAGAGGGAGACAAACAAAGCAACAACAAAGAACTGCAACTCTGTTAGTTCAAGGAATACGGTGTAAATTTTAACTCACGTAGAAAACAAAATAAACAGATAAGGAAGAGAGTGGGTGGAAGTCACTAGCATTATGTGACCAATGACTCAAGATCTCTGATGGACAAGCATTGGTTGCGTTATCAGAAGCCGAAAATGTACAATTTGCAAGGAAATCAACTAACGTTTCACGGAACGTATACTGTAATGAGCAAATGATATAATGAGAACAAAGCTAATCAAAATTACCTGTCCAGCAAAATATTTTCCGAGACCTTCAGGGCAGGACACGATAGCGTAAAAGAAAGCCATTAAAACGGTGAAAGCGACTGGTCTATAATTAACTCCTATTTGATATGGATATTCAAATCATTAATTACCGTGTTCCAAAGATCTTAACATATCCTGGATTTCTTCTTCTGAACATGGCAATTCTTCTGTGCACAAAAACGAAAGAAGCTCCGAGTAATCCATAAAGAACACTGAAAGAGATTTTGATGATGAAAGATAGAAGAATCAGATCCTTACCCCAGAATCAGGAAAAAGGGAATTTCTTCAATCAAGAAAACTTCATTGGGGAAAGTTGTTTGATAGTAAGCCATGATGGTACCAGCTGAAAGAAAAACCTCCAATACACGAAAAGGTTGAAAGCATTACCGATGTGCCTTGGAACTATAGCTGACATAGCGAAACGAAAAATAATGGCTGAGCAAGTAGTAGCGAAAAACTGTCTCCAATAATTTTTGACAGCAAAATACTTAGAAGTTGATTCGATTCCATAAAGTACAGCTTAAAGTTAAGAAATCATTATTTCAATTGTCTAATATAAGAAATATTACCTCCAGCTGGAGCTGAGAACGTACACGCAATTCCTACAGCGCAACCTGTACTTAACATTTCCATTTGGCGTCCTTCATTAGAGAAGAACATGTTGTACTGACAAGCTTCAGTTGCTTTTGTGAGTAAAGTAGCTATAATAGCTCCAATGTGCACAAAAGGTCCCTGCAACACAATAACTTCATTTAAACAAAATTAATTTGAATATTCGATACCTCTTTTCCGATTGGCATTCCTGCTCCCAAACATAGTGTTAATCCAACTATCTTTGCTATTAACGTTTGGAAATTGAGATAATTTTTTAAAGCAAATCCATGAATAATAACTTTAACTTCTGGTATACCAGAGCCTATCAAACAATTATTTTGATAAAGATATTCAATGAATAATACATACCAACAGCTTGTTTTCCAAACGCATAACAATAGAAAGACGCTATAGCAACTAATAAGGTACTGAAAGCAATCCACGTTGCTAATCCCGATGTGAAACTTCTTTCACTCGCCAATTCATATAAGTGAACTCTGTCTGAAAACAACGAAATTCTTTTTGATATATGACTGATCGGTTTCTATTTGAAGACTTTACAACCGATTCATTGAATTTATTTGAATGAAATGAGGAATTGTTTTCATCGTTTGCTCACGTAGACACACGTAGAATAGTACGTGGCACCACGTGAAACAACACTCACATAACGCTTACATCACGTGTAACAATTCCAATGACGCCATTTCAAAACAATTAAGAAAATCAGAAAAACTCACAATGCTGCATGTATTCTATAATTACATCCATGAAAATTGATAAAATTGCTGTTATGATTCCCAACATGGCACTAAGAAACCAATCTTCCACCAGGAAATGAACGAGATTTCGATAATTTCCTTGAATTAGTTTCATTATTGAATTATCCACATCCTCTGGGCATTTACGGCTTAAGAATTGTTCCATCGTCTCTTTACGGGATGGCTTGGGATCATCCAAATAATAATCCTCTGGGCCATATTGGTCAAAGTCGCTTTCTTCATTTTGCTCTTCGGGATCATCATCTAGTAACCCTTGCTGTTCTTGATTATCAGGACTGAAAACAGTATTATGAGGGGAGGAAAACGCATGCATGATTGGGAAGGGGGAAATAAATCTTAAAACCTCTTTTCTATTCTGATTCTGATTCATTATGACCGCTATAAATGCTTTTGGTCAAGAAAACGGAAAAATGCACCAAAACAACTTTTTCTGATGTTTTGACGGGAGAACAAAAAATTATTTGCTGACATTGAAAAAGATCATCTTTTTCCTTTTCAGTCGAATTCGAACTTTGCCTTCCAAACACCTCATTGACCCATAAAAGGAATTTGCACTTTTGCGATTGTTTTCGTTAGATTGAATCAGTTTTTAGAAACGAATAAAGCTGATCAACATTTTCAATGACACAACAACCGAATGAATCATCTTCTGTGAGAAGTGAAGCTTTCAAATAGTTTACATGAAAGAAGAATAATGGCAAAAGCGTAAAGCGATGAGTTTAAGATAAAGACGAGAAACTTAATAGAGCCGATTCATCTATCTACTTCGATTCTGGCATGTCCTCAAAAAAATCGTTAACTATGGGATCATGTATGAGTATTTGCCAACCGGTTCCTCAATCGCGTAGGTCGTTTTGGACAAAAACTTTCTCAATCGATTGAATTGAGAAAAAAACGTTCGAACTACACGGATACTGACTAGTTTGCATGAACATGAGTTTGATGAGCATTTTTTAGATTCATCAAAAGAAAACGAAGTACTAACCAGATTACTTTGGACATTGAAGAAGTCAAGCGAGCTGAGAGTTTAAGAACATGACAGCAAAAAATATACAAAAGACTAAAAGCTCCAGCATTGGTGGCTTTCATCAATTACTGCGTTAATGCTAACAGTAGATAGCATCAGGATATTGGCCACAGTGTATATATATAGCCAAATGTCTCGTTTGGATAAAGGATGAGAAAGTTTTCAAAGATAGAAAGCCATGATAAGCTTCCGGGAAACAGTTGTCTCCAAAAGAAGGAAACGTAAACTCACCTATGAAGCTCGAATAACACCATTAGACACTGAGAAGGTTTGATTAATAAATAAAATTATAAAGCTTCAATGTGAGGTTATATGGAAAGGATAGCGAAGTAATTCTCCTCTTGATACCTTCTCTCTCACTCCCCGAGGGCTGCGAACAACGCGAGCGGCTGGGCGATGCGTCGCATTTCCCAGTTCCACTGAGAAGTCCAAAGACAATATCGTGATCTTCCATAGATCATGCAGAAATATATACGAAGGGTGATAAAGAGAGAGAAAAAGCATAAGAAATAGCATTCGTTCAAAGGAATAAATAGACAAATGGTCAAGGATCCACTGATAACATTAACATCGGAAGGCTGCTTCACATCACAAGAGATAATCATTCTAGTTTTTATCATCTAGTTGCTATATTTGGCAGAGAACGCAATAACATGGAATTAATTTGCATCTCTTTTACTTTATGTGAACAACTACTTTTAAAGATCTTACCCAGACACAAGACAAAGCCTTTGATAGCCATAAGGATTCTGTATTCGAGTCGCATCTACTGATGGGTCTCAGAAAATCAAGCAGACAAGATAAGTGAGAGTATCAGAAGATAAATTTTGATAAAAATCAAAAGTATCAGTACCGTTTAATCTTTCCAAATATGGTAGGACAAACAAGAATGGTGTTTCAAAAATCCAAATTGAGAATGAAATTGCTTTTCAATTCGACCTACCTAGGCGAATATGATGAAATTCGTTTTCTTTCTTGTGTCATTACATCAAGATAAAGCAGAGATTTGCCTCAGTTTCACGTTTTTTTTTACTTTTTTTTCGTGGAAACGGTCATGCCAAATCCAGTTCTCATGATCTTGTCACTCATCATACGGTTCCTTTGATTCCTGACACTTCATAACTTAAAAGTTGTTCGCTCGTGTCTACGTTGTTCTTTTCCATTGCGGAATTATGTCACTTCAAATTCTTTTTGAATAACAAGCTTTAATGAATGAAGCCAAAGGAGAATGCTTTTGTGTAGAGGACAAGAAGACCTCAAGACAAGTCTAACATACGGATAAGTTTTGTAATTTGGGAGAAACAAAACAGAAAAGTTCAAAATAATTAACAAATCGATAAACTTCTAATCGAAAACCAAAGTTTTTCTATCTCTTCTCCCTTTCAAGTTCAAAAAAATCAAACAAATTTGTCTCCCGCGAGAGTATATTGGAAAGTGTAAATCAATAAATCGATCAGTTTTCATCGAATATTACTGAAGGCAAGTTTGTATTGTACAATTTCTTGAATGACAAAGTTCAAAAAAAGGTAATTTTGTATTATAAAAAAGTAAAATAAACGATAATTCCTACCGCAGAAGTGTATATTTGACGCGAGTTGAAGGAATTTTCCTTTCAATTTTCAGCATTTAAATAGAAAAATGTTAAAAAAAGGATAGAAAAGTGAGTGCGACTGGACTGATTAGACAGACAGCTCGAATCGTAGAATATTGGTGTGGGTGATTGACTTTTAATAACGAGCAAGGAGGGAATATATATATATTAATTGGGAAGCTTTAGTTGAATAAAAATTACCCTTTATCACAGGTTTCTGATGGATCGTCCTTGGCCTTGCTGTTAACAGTCAATGTAGGACTCAGGGGATTTTTCTTGTCGTCCGGCGTCGTGCAGGTTCCATTCTCTTTTTCAAACATTCTTGATGTGAACTACCGAATGCGTTCTTGTGTTGATGAAAGAAATTTTGCCTTCTCTATCTTAAAAAAAATTTTGTTGTTCTTTTAAATATTTTTTTTCAAAAAAATTTTAATTTCGATTATGAACAGTAAGAAAGATAGAATACGAGTGATATAAGATGTGTTGTTAGGCGGTTTTGCATAAAATTGCAAAGTAAGAACTGTTTTCATCTTATCGAGAGATGAAGCTGTGTAAGAGATACGAGCAACGAACATTACGTTATGAGAGATCTGCAAGAAACTAATGGATAACTGATTATCTTTTTAATTTTATTTTAATGGTAGTGTACAGTATTCGTCACCTCCTCTCTCTCTCTCTTTCTCTCTCTCTCTTTCTCTATCTTCTGTACCGTAACAGGAGTTTGCTCAGAGATTATCAAAATTGTTTTATCAGGAAAAATGAAAATAAAAGATTTAAAATCGTCGAATCTGAGGTGCAGAGAGTAATCATCCGTGATATTCGTCTCTCGTTTACACCTCCGATACGAAACTCTGTTGATTGTAATTGAATTCCAAAACGAAAACTTAGAAAAAACATAAAAATAAGGCGAAAGAGCTTCAACTCGTGCAATGCTGGAGATATAAATTAAGAGCTGTTTGTACGAGATAAAGAGGGTTTCCTAATATTCAAATGTTTCTATGATGTTCAGATGATAGATGGACTACAAATTGAAAGACTGCCAGATAGGTCATAGACAAGCCCGAAGTTGAAATGATCGTTGTCTGATAATAAAACCATGATCATCACTGGAGACGTTGTCTGATGAAGTGGAATCATTCTCTATATTACAACCATATGAAGAGAGCATAAATGTAAGGAAAGTTGAAAAATCGAAGAAATACAATCAAGCGCCAACCTATTATAATCATGCCATACATATCTATACATATATATATATATATATATATGTATATATATATATACATATACAAGTATGGAAAAGTATATATATATAGAGATATCTGTAACCAATCATAACATCCAAATAGAGAATTGAAGAAACTCACGAATACAGTGAGATAGAGAGAGGAAGAGGAAAGGAAAGAGAGAGGGAGGGGGGAAATAGAAAGAGGAAGTCGGAAAAAGGTAAGGAGAGAGGAAGAGAAGTCAAGAAACAAAAAAAGGAAGTTCTAAGAGAAAACACGAGAACTACCTACAGTCTACTTGTTTGCAAAAGATGTCCAACCCTCTTCTTTCTAAAAAAAAAACCAAAATATTTCATAAAGTAAATGAAAGATCAAACTCGTCATGTTCAAGAGGAATAGCGATTGAAACAAACTCCAAAACTGTTAAAGAAATATCTTTTGTTGCTAGCGAAGCTTTTTATATTTTTGAAATTGAGAAAGTTGGCAGCCGATGCAATAGCAGGGACTGGCTATCTAGAGAGAGCTAAAGATAGAACATATCTTATCTTTTTCTTCGGAATAGCTTCATCAAAAAGGTTTTAAAAACGGTCAAACGAGCAGAAATGTCATAACGGGTTCAAACTGACGAAATAGTTTCACGATTATAGTTGATTGAAAAAGTATATTCTATTAATAGATATCTTCCAAATATGATCATGAACACGTACTTGATCAGGTCTGCCAACTGTTTCAAAATGAAAAAGCTTGATAACTAATGAGTTCATGGTCAATTCATATGTAAAGCTTACATCTAATACAAACAGGTTTTTCTCTTGTGTTTATTAAAATGATTAGTATGAATTATGATCAGTAAATATGTAATTTACATTCTTAGTTTCTCAGTAAGTGATAGGAAATGCCCAAACTTATCAAGTTTGCAATTCATTTGAATAATACGAAAAAGCCACGTCATACGTGGAATGACGTGTGTCACGTGAATGCACGTAAAGTTTGAGAAGCATTTCCTACCATTCAATTTCATATTTATTGGCTATTAACTGAACGGTTGTCTTCATTTTTCAACTTTTTTTTAATTTAACAGGTACGGTGTGTCAAATTTTCATTGAAAATGAAATGAAATCGTCAATTTCTTCTAACATTCCAGCCATGTAATAATCTTTTGTTTCATCAAGAGAGAAAGAGAACCGCCGGAAATAAACATTTAGCATATCAATAACACTTATCAACTAAAAAAAAAATTTAGAGCAGATGGAAGCCTTAAATGCAGAGAATTGTTTAAAAAAAGGGAGAAGAAAAAGAGTAGAATGGAATAAAAGAGAGAAAGAGAGAAAAGGAATGATTGAAGTCCAAATGCAAGAATAGTACGATTGAGATGTGAGAAAAAAGCATTCTCTCAAAGAATGATATGATATAGCAAAAACTTCGAAACGGAAATCGAACTGATTTAAACCATAGTCGATGTGCTGATGAAAGATTACTTGAACTGATGTAAATTTTCAAGCTCAAAGTTCAGAGAAGGTTATAAGATATGGTTGATAGAATGCGAAAAGAAAGTTGGAAAATGAAGAAAAACTTTAATTTATGACAATAATTAACAGATGCCCAAATTCGTCAGAAGTCCTTCAATGTAAACGCATACACATAAATCGTTGCAAGATCATATAACTATTTCAAGCAGAGATGTCAAAAAGAAATGACAATTTCATTAGAGTAGGAAGTGTTTAGAAGACATAGGAAAAGATAAATTCTTTTTTTTTTCATCTTTTTTTTTCCAAATATAGAATGATGGTCTCGTTTCTAATTATAAGATTGATATTGATGTGTTCAGGTTGATCATGATCACGTATAATTCATTTGTATCTGATCATATGTTTGAACTTTTTGGAATTTCATTCAAAACGTAATTGAGAGAAAGTTATTTTAGAATAGAAGAAAAAAGATGATATGAAGTTATAAACGAAAGCTTATGATCAAGGAGATGGTTACAAGAATGTATTTTATGGAAGGTAAAGATGAATGAATACGAGTCTCTAAGTATATGCTGATGATATTGGACAGCTGTGGGTGGAGTTAACAGAAAATTATAAGGAGAGAAAGGAAAAATGAAAAATAATAAAGAGAGAAAAATATAATGTGAGAGAGAAAGAAATAGAGGTAAAGGTAGGCCTAAGAAATGTTCCATCAAGAACTGGTTAAAGTTAAGTTGAAAAGAAAAAATAGACAAATAGTTGACAATAAAATACATTTGATTAACCGGAAACTATCAGATTTAAACATGAATTTTGTTATAAAAGAAAGATCTACTAAAGGATGAAACAACCTTTGAAGGTTAATCATACATGCCCGTAGTCATTACATATAAGCTAATCAACATGATTATAGTGTAAAACCTGTCAAAGCATATTATGCTCAATGGATACGTCATTTTCAGTTGAATCAAGTAAAGAAGATCATGAGCGATCAGAGCAAACAAAAATCCTTTTTCTTCTCAAAACATTGACAGGAATTATTTAAAAAAAGGCTTCTCCCACACAAAACTTGGGTATCAATGATTAAAAATATAAAAATCACTTGTCGATAGTCCTGCATACCAGTATTTGGCTACTTCTTTAGGATTACTTATCGAAAAGCAAATATATGTTTTTCATCTTCATTTTTCAATATTAAACCATTTTTTTCTATTAAACTGCGCCATTATAAATTAGGGGAAAGAATTTTCTTTATTTGTTCATTCACCATAATTAAGCTCTTAAGACAACGCTGCCAAATTCTCGCTGTACTGTCATCATCTCATTTCTTTTAAATTCGCACTATCACGTGGACTTTCACGTGATTACAATCCCTAACGCCCAAAATCATTCGTCCCAGATGAAACTCTAAGAACGGTTGCAATCTCACTCTTCTTCCATTTCAACAAAACTTAAGAATTATAAAGAATTTATAAAACGATCAAACAAAGCAAAAGTACAGAAATACAAAAGTTCGTAAAACAGTGAAACAATGCATTAGGAGAGATCAAATGTATTGAGATCTACCAGTTGATCTACCTATTAAGCGCCCAAAAAAGGGTATATAAGGATGAAAATTTTTACATTCAACATCATCAGTTCGTGATTTGTATATATAAGTAACAAGACCTTTATTAACTAACTATATTCCGTGGTATAACCAAAGATGTTTCTTCTCAAAACCTCTATTCTGCTGTTAATTTCTCTTCAACTTGCGACCGGAGGTCCTTGTTGTTGCAAGGGAGACTGTTCAGAGAAACAAATTGGTTAGTTTTTCTCCATATTGAATTGTTTCTAGTTTTGCTTTTATTTCAGAGAAGAAGGTTAAGTATGTGACTGTTCCCTCTCCTGATAAACCTTTCACTTGGGAAGAATCTGATAAGGCTCGCCTGCTTTTGAAGGAGAATCTCACAACTGCCGAAATCTTATTGGACAAGCCAACCAAAGTTGCTAAAGCTGTTGCTAAGCCAGATGTTGTAAGTTATCAATTGTTAACATTTTAATGTGAGAGTCAACAGGCTAACCAGGAGGAACCCATGCTTGGGGCCTGGGTAGTTAATGAGGTTCTAACTCGAAAGAAAAGTGTAGCTTATTCTTTGTTTGTAGATTGGAAGTCTCTGCGATGATGGATGGGAACTTTTCAAGGAGTCTTGCTATTACATTGAACGTGAAGAGAAGTTGCCTTTGGATCAAGCTGAGCAATCATGCATCAAGAAAGGAGCTACTCTTTTCGTCGCAAACTCTAAGGAAGAATTCGTAAGTGTTGCGTTTACGGTTTGATCAAATTTAAATTTTTTAGAACACCATCTTGCAAGATGCTCCCATGAACTACTTCACCTGGACTGGATTGTACAAGAAGGGAGATGACACCCTTCCAACCTGGCACACCAAGGATGCCATTGATCTTAATGAGCTGTTAGTTATATCGCGGATTCTCTTCTAATTTTACGTTTAGCAACTGGATCATCCAACCATACTCTGATGCCACCAATGGATGGACCACTGTCTCTCAATGTGCTGCTCACTACAATCCTTTTACTGCTTTCGGCAAGTACACTTTCTGGTACCCATGCTCATTTGCTTACTACTACGTCTGTGAACGCAATGCTACGTTGGCCACTACCTCGATGCCTAAGCTATTCAATTAGATAATAGTTTTATATTGTATATTCGTATTGCCTGTTCAACAGGAAAGATTCATTTAATAAGAAACCGAAAATAAAGGTGTCTACAACATATTTCGTTTTATTGAGTTGGTTGAGGAGATGAATCGCGTCATATGACCTTTGGAGTTCGGAAAGAATAAGATAAAAGTCCTTGCGATTTGAAGTCTTTTGCTTTATCTAAATGGGCGATCCACTGAACGGGATGACTACAAGATTTTTTGTTCTTAACGGCAATCATTTGTTTTGAACAATCGAAGGAAGGATGATGTCGCACATATTTGCTAGGTTAGTTATTAATCTTATGAAAAACTTTATTAGTTCGATAGAATAGTGTAGTGTTGTTTAGATTATCAAGAAATAAATTTAGACGACATTTTGTTTTCACCCACATGGTGGAAATAGCATTCAGTTGCTTTCTTGTCCTCATAACGCTGCATCAGATTTATGGGAGGTTAGATATAAGATGTTCATAATCGAAAGGTGATTTTGAACATTTTCAGTAACACTATCTATATTGAATGGAACCATGACAAAGTCTACAAAGAATTGGGAGAACTGTTAGTAGAAAGAGATACAAATATAGATAATCTTGTTTTTTCAGTGTTGTTAATACTAATAAAGGATGGATTTCTTATTCGGAGTTGGAAGAAAACGTGTTTCGACCAATGAAATACGAGATTCTAAAACCAACTGTTCCCATTCCAACTCTTAGAAGAATAGAACCTGCCTCATGTGCACAAGTAATTATGGTATCACTGCGATCTAGGTAGTGTTTGTTCCAGATTTTCGGAGATTGGTTGAGATTCATTGAAACTGCCAAGTATAAAGGTCCTCAATATTCGATGCCAGAAGAACTTGAAAACATGTACACCTTGAATGGATATATCAGAAAAAGCAGGGTTATTTCTGACTGTTTGTTATCGAACTTATGCTTCGCTTTTAGTATTATAGAGATGATGCTCATTCCTCAAGCTCTGAGAGAGTATGGGACCAAATAGACGAATGGAGAAACTTAACTGAAGAAGAATTCATCGCTGTCTCTAATTATGGAAAAACATCAAGTATGAAGGAATCTCATCTCTTTCCTAAGACCATCACGTTGATAGTGGCTGTATATCACTCGCTGAAGGCCTTCCCTCTTGTCGATCAATATGGAGCTGTTTTTGGTTCTCTAACTCCATGGGCTGAGAGCATGGCGCTTCAAGCGGGAGCTCGAGAAGTTTGACACGCTTTGCAACTTTCCTTAAACCTATCTTAGGTTTTGACCATCGAATACCTGAAGTTGAAGATAGAAGGTAAATCCAATGTTCATTATAAACATCCTTTAGATTTTGCCAGGAATTTCGAAAGGTTTGTGAATCTTGATTTCCTCTTAGGTAACATTTTTTAGCTACTTGGATACTTTTGACTTTGTTATTTCATTCTCCTCACTCGAACACAGTGGCTTGGGAAGGTCGGTAAAACTTCATGAATTATATATACTGAAACTTTCAGATATGGTGATTCACTAGATCCTAACGGTGATCTGCGAGAGCTTCAAAAAATTCATTGCGCTCTCAAGCCAGGAGGTAATATATATGAGACAACTTCTTCAGATTAAAAATTGTTTGAAGGGCTCCTATTTCTTGGATTACCCCGTGGACAAGATATTCTCAACTACAACGTACATAGAATATACGGCAGAATTCGTTTGGCTATGATCATGGAAGGTTGGTCAACAATAACGTTTACATTGATTTCATTCATATTAAAGGATATGAGCTACTTGCAACATTCCGTGAGAATTATAAACATCCAAGATCTCTCTCCTTACATGACTTTGATGCTCAACAGTCAGCCAGCGGTGGCGAGCAGGACCTATATGTTTTGAGGAAGAGAAGAACTAAACTTTAATTTGACGTGGAAAACTTTCCCGTGAATATCACCGTGTAATTTTTATTCTCAAATCCTTGCCACGCAGTGGACGGTTGCTCATTCTCCATATATTATTCATAAAATAATTATAAACAGATAACACGTACATTTAGTTAACTTCGATTTAATAAACATGGAGATCAATATAAAACAGTCATGGCTTTTACTATATAATTCGCATATTTGACAACCCGTAAACATGATCTACTCATTCTGAAGATAATATCATCTAAAATATTCTAGGACTAGTCCACACTCAAACGATTCGAAACTGCTGATTCAAGATTCGTATATTTTTCCATTTTTTAAATACAAACTCGTCCAATCAGCTGGGAAAAAATCTTCAGGATTCAACTCCAATTCAATCCCGTAGGGCTGTGAGAACTTGCGGTTATAGTAGACATTCCCGCCTCTGGACATAAAAGCCATCCACCAGCCATATGTCGACGCAGACGCTGGCAGTCGCTTGTATAAAAATATGTGAAAAATTATGAAAAACCTGTTAAAGCTACAACGTCGCAAAATAAACGACTGAATTCCCAATCTACATTAGGTGGGTTCAGTGGACTGAACGGGGCAATGTGCACATTATAGCCTCGAAAAGTTTTCTCGGCCCACATAGGGTCATTTCCCAAAACAATTGTAGATGGCGAATAGTTAGCATCTGGAAAAAAAATATTTAGAAGCTAAGCAGTGGGGCATTTCAACATTTCTTATTCAAGTGATCAGTGATAGCCAAAGTGAAATCTTTCCGTGTCGGTTCATGCCTCCAGGACAGCATATAGTCACCTCGTCTGATATGTATGCATATACTGAAAATGAATAAAGCATAATTCAATATTATAAGTGAGAAACTACTTGAATTTAGATTTTGCCAGAATACGAGGGTCAACCATTTCTGTCTTGGCCATGTTTTTGATTCCAGTAGATCCTTTCAAGATGTGTCGTATATCAAGAGACGTTTCATTGATGAAGTACTTGTAACTCTAGGTGGTTCGAATGTTACACACTTCTACCGATATCCGTACTTGTAAATAATAAAACTCGACGTTGAGAGAGACGGGGCGAGTGAGATTATTCTCCAAAATGAGATCAGGCTCGTAAACACAACACTTAGCACTCTTCAACACCATTCGTTTTTCCTTTCCACAATATACCTGTATACGAAGAAGTCAATCATAAAGAATAGAAAAAGCTGACATCATTATCATTCGGTAAAATTCCTCGAAGATTTGGAAATATTGGTTGTAACTCTCGCAACCGCGTTTTTGTGAGAGGATCACGTAAAACAGGAATTCTTAACACAAATATTACTTCACGATCAAAGTTATAAATTCACCTGTCATGAGCTCGTGCGATGGCTATGAAGTTTAAGAGTTCAAAAAATAAATTTCCTGTTCCACTTCCTCTCTGGGTGCCTGATAAAGTTCCAATGAGACATGTATACCTATGAAAGGGCATATTAGGAAAGTACGAAGTTTGATTACTCACCCCTTTTCCGGTGTTTCATTGTATTGCTTGCTTAAGGCCCAGATAGAAATTACAAAAAGAAGGCTGAAAATATATATTATATGTTAGAGTACAGATTTTGATTTTAGAAAAAAAATTAAGAATGAAATGAGTAAATTCGTACGCAAGATGTCTGTCCATGTTGAGTATCGGTTGAAAATCTCACTCACAGTTGAACTTATCGATCCTAACACGAAAGTACCGATGCAGTGGCACGCTCTGAAATCCTCCCAAAGCTCACTATCATCAATATGAAAAGAAACAAACATAATTTCAAAAATATATCATAAGCGAAGTTTGCAAGTGGAATATTCCCAGTTTATTCTTTGTAAATCTACTCTTATCAAATTTCGCAATCTCTGAAAATTCTACAGAATCGAACAAAAAACGTTGAGGAATCAAGAAGAGAATCTAGGTTGATCGAGATATCTGTTCAATAAAACAAAAAATAAAGTCGTTGAACATCAAAAGTTTCAAAATTAGAGGAAGTTGTTTCCCAAGTTCTTCTAGTACAACATCACATATCAGATTTTGAAAATTAAAACAACTCGAACAAACACGAGACAGTTAGCTGAGGTCTGAGGATGAATAGAATGAGATGAGGTGCGTCTTCTTTACATATAGTAGAATAACGGAGATGTGAATGATGAAATAGGTATGTTGAGATAAGATGAAAATAAAAAGATCTAAATATGAATTTCACTTTATTTTCTGCTTGTTCGTCAAGGAAAATCGTTTGAAACTGCTTAAAAGGATACTTATATTCTTTATAAAACAGTCCTTATCCGGAAAGCATAAGACATTGTCTTGGAAGAATCGGTAAACTTGAAAGCTCACTCGTTTTCGTGTCCAGAATACTTCCTTGTTCGGGGAATTGAAAGGTGTCAAAAACAAAATTATGTCATGTTTATTTGTGCCGTAAATATAATGAGAATAGCTTCTCTAAAGCTGTGTTGTATTTACATTCTGTTGTGACTCATCAGCAACAGCTTTCCGCTTTTTTCCTTCTTTACTGTGTGTAAATCCATAGAATAGATAAATGACCAGACCTGAAAAAAGATTGATACAAGAGAAACTTATGATCTCTCCATTCCAAACTACATTCACTCCCTCCGCTATGTGTTGGAGATATCGTCAGATATACTATTGAGGATACCTCTCATACCATGTACGGATATGTGTTAAATAAGTGGTTTAATAGACCTAACTATAGTATATATAAACACTAACTAGGTCTTTATAAGACCTTAGAGTTCAATTTTTGGATCCCACTGGGTTTTCCCAGTGGGTATAAGACTAAAGAATTATTTATTAACCTATGGTCATCCACACCACCATACGGATCCATGTGAGACCATTAAGATACGCCATCATGAACACGTTGATTAGCAGGCCAAGTGAAGGTATGAACGGTATAAGGGGCACCTTGATAATAAGTTTAGTTTTTTTATGATTTATAATTGAACCTTAAACGATAATTCCAAAGAATTTTGTTTGTGACCTAACATGAAGATGAAAGCGGAAATCACCAAAATAATACTACATATCATCATGATAATACCACCTACTGATGTATATAAACCTCAAGTGTTTTCGATGTTCAATTTTGCTAGCTTGTTAAGTGATACCTGCTCTGCAGCATAACGCTAGCCAGAAATCCGCTACGATCATGACAATCACTGCTAATGTTATAGAGTAACCAGTGGGTTGAGCCTCCCAAAAGTCTCGAAAAGGTATCCAGTTTGCCAATGCACCTCCTAAATTTTATGTTTTCGTATTTGAATTATTTTTGCATCCCGTTAGTTTTAGTTAATGTTAATGAATTCCACGTGTAGTTTCACGTGACAAATTTCACACGGTCACGTAAACCACTCTTTGTTGTCCAAGAGATTATAAGTGTAAATCTCATTTAATGCTCTAATCTCGCATGGACCGGTTGTTTTGTTTTTAATTTTTTCACCGCAAGCCTGCTGCATGTGGATGTTTTATTTACCGTCATCCATTTTGTTTAAATCCTCATTGATTGGAGCAGGTTGGTACCGTAGGATGAGAACACAAGCCGATACGATGGAATAAGCAAATAGTGTTCCTGAAAGGAGTTAATCAAAGTTTAACAGAAGTTATTACCAATAGAGAGAAAGTCAACTAGAGCTTTCAGATCAAATATAGTTGCAATGATGCCATTCAAGACAGTTCCCAGGATGATGGCATTCACTGGTACCTGTTCGATATTCATTTACAAAAACCACCTGAATGATTCAATTACTTTTGTTTTTTCATTGATTTTAGCGAAAAATTTGAAAATTAAGCCGTCATCAGCCATAGCATAAATACTACGCGGGAGTGCAAATGAGCCTGTTACCTATAATTGTAATAAGTAACAGTTTTGATATGAACACTAACAATGTTGTTAAACATTCCACATAAAGCTCCTATGGTTATTACGTACTGGGCTAAAGTAGCACCTCTCATACGAAATGCTTCAGCAAATGCTGCGGATTCGTGGACCTATTTATATTAGTATGATCTGATTATTTGAACAAAAACTTACCTCATCGAAAGGAACCATCAAAGTGAGAGTTGCTGCCATGAGCACATAAAGTACTGTCACTAGGGCTAAAGAGCCAAAAATGGCGAGAGGTATTGTGCGATGTGGTTCTGATATATTAAAGTATTTCCAACAGATAAAACAATATACTTTTAGCTTCTTCCCCGGCTGATCCTAAAGCCTCAAAACCAATGAAAGCGAAAAAGCAAGTAGCAGCTCCAGTTAACGTTCCCCCAACTCCGAAAGGGAAAAATCTTGAAGTGTTTTAGATGAATGGCAACACATTCACTAACTTACTTGGACACTCCTGCATCATTTGTTCCTACCCAATTTGTGAAATCCGCATACGTAAAGCCGTAAACGATTACAAAAAGCAATACAGAAATGTTCAAGAGAACAAATACGGTGTTAACAGAAGCTGACGCTTTAGAACCGATCGCGACTGCGATGGCCACCACAATTAAAAGAAGAAATGCCAGAATATCAGGATAATCACTGAAGAAACCCGTTCCCTAAATTATCGAACATGTAAATAAAGTATCCATTAATGTAATAACATCGCTTAAATGACCGATTGTTGAGAGTGTAATGTTCTTGATCCGGTAATCCAGTAAAGAGTCGAAGTACGCCGACCAAGAGCGAGCAACAGCTGGACATATTAGAAAAACTCAAAAGTAAGTCTGAGTAGCTTGTACCAGCATTTCCGATTAGGTATTCTAATAACACCGTCCATCCAATAACAAAAGCCCAAATTTCTCCGAGGCCAACGTATGCATAAGTGTAGGCACTGCCCGCACGCGGATATCTGTATAGAAGAATAGTGATCAGTAGTGCTATGGTACGTACCTAGCTCCAAACTCTGCGTAACTGAAGGCTGAAAGTAGAGCTGCAAACCCAGCGAGAAGAAAAGATATAATGATAGACGGCCCTGCCTGGTTATGTACAACGGAGCCTGATTGGAAAGTTGGAATGTATTATGAATAAAAAGAACTACCAGTGAGAACAAAAATCCCAGCTCCAATCATATGTCCCACTGCAATGAACATAATGTCAAAGACGGATAGACATCTCTTAAGCTCTGACTCAAGTTGACCTGGAAGAACGATATAAATGACAACCAAAGCACGGAATAAACCTCCTTTTTCGAAGGTCTTCTTTCGAAACAAACTGAAGAACAAGGTATCTTGCATTTCTGAAAAAACTACAATTCAATGCGGATATCACAAACTGATCTAAATCTTCTTGCAATGATCATGGCATAAACTTTAAGCTTCACTCAGCATATTCACGTGTAATTCACACGAAGGATATTATCAGAGCGAATGATTGAATTCCTTCTAATAATGGACGTATGCACCCAAATAAGGAAAAAACCGGATATGTAGCCTAGCGTACATTTGGATACGTCTGGACTAAAATATCAAATAATTGTCCTTTGTCGGAACTTTTAATTGACTCTATACTAACATGAAAGTGAACTGATCTGTAGAAAAGTTGAAAGTTGAGAAGAGCGGTAAAGGTGGGAGTGTGGTGCACATACTTAACCATTAAAGAGACTCACTATATGATTTGAAGCTTTCAATCCTTAGAAATAACTGAATTGCATAATATGCATCCACTGAAAAATTGAAAACTGAAACAGCAACACTTGAATGATCACATGATTCACTACATTAACAACAGAAGTTATTACAAAAGATAATCTGACTGCCAGAAACGAATAAATATGCACGAGAAATCTCATCATTCACTGGGAGTTTTTTGTTTTTTCTCTTGCGTTCTGAAATCACATTCAAACAAGTCAACGGAGCCAATTGCAACCGTAAAAAGAAGATTTATGTTCGGAAAAAAGTTCATGCGAATCAGAATCGACAAAGAAGTGAAAATTCTCGGATTAAAAACTCATAGAATTTTCACTACTGTTCTTTCGCGCAAAAAAATTGCTGATCAGGTTCCTACTGCTAACCGTTGTTGGCATGTTAGCACGAGGTAGAACTGGAAATCTCGTGCTGGGTATTTATATCTGATCTTTCCTGCTGTGGCTGCTAGTGATAATCTCTAATTTTTAGAAATTAAACATCATTTTCAAAAGTATCTACTTAACTGTCAACTATCTTCAATGATCCAAAACCAAACTGACCCGAACAATGCAACATTCAGAATCGACGTCATTCACTCAAATCAGAACTTTGAACTCAATTACATAATGATGATCACGAGTTTTGTTTTATGGTTAATGAGTGAAAATTCCCAAAAATTTTAATATCTTTACGAATTTGCGCGCCAATTCAAATCTGAATAAACTATGAGCTCACGTATCTCACGTGTTGGGAGGCACCATTCCAGTGAAACCATTTGACTTTAAAAAATTTGAACCAATAATATTAAGTATCATCCAATTGAGACAGTTCTCATTTTCTGACCAAGATCACCTTGACGAAGATAAACTCCCGACGATATGGTTTCCGCTATCCAACGCTACGCGGCATGTATTAGTGGGCCTCAACAGCACCAAGTTCTACTTGAGAGCTATAGCATATACGTTCGAAGCGTTTTATAAAAGTTTATTTTTATTTGATTCGAAAACAGTTAGTCTCTAGAGATTCTATTAGTGATTTTCATTTGTGCACGTTAGCTCCTTTTGGAGTTCATGGCATTTATGCTAGCTGGTAAAGGCTGTTTGTGAGTCTCCGGTAAAAGCATGATAAGAAGGGCAGAAACGATTGCAGTACTTCCAATGACTATGTTTGGAAGACTCGAGGAGATCGATTTCTGAAAGTTAATCTTAAGAAGGTTAATATTTGTTAATTTACCAAAAGAGTTATTCTAGGTGCTAGTATTCCTCCAATTCTGGATAGAGTTTCACATAAACCAACTGACACATTCCTTATGTTTGTAGGAAATATTTCGCTGCCAACGGCGAAAAGTGTGAGAAAAGAACAGCTTGTACCGAATTTCCCGACCATCCATAAGATAAGACAAAGAGTGGAATCATCTGAAACAGTTTGTCCTTGGAACTATGCAATTCCACATACCAGGAACAAACACAAGGGTTGTGAAAGAAATGACAGCGATTATATGTTCTAATATTAAAGCTTTCTTCCGGCCAATTCTGGAATTCAGGACAATTTGATAAAACAAATGAAACAAACTTCTCCATTAAAGCAGGGGCACAAATACTAGCAGGTAGCTCCACTAATCCCAATAATACATAATTGAGGTAGACATTACCAGCAAGACTCGTACTGAACAGCGATAAAGCAAAGTACACAAAGGTATCGCCGACCCTGAAAACAAGGATTTTAAAATGCTGCCGCTTGAAAGAGTTTACCAAACAAAAACTAGGATTGACGTGTAGATCATTAGTTGTTTGTGCTTCCACAATTCCATGAGCATGCCCAATCCTTTCCTATAGTTAAATGAAAAGAAGTTTTAAAAAAATTGAACAGACTTTTCTGGCTCTCCATCAGGTCGAACGAGCTGATCACTTTTTATGTTCTCGACTCTCATAAACTCGAGCCACTCCTGTATTTTTTCAGTTTCGTTGTTTAATGCAAGGAAATGAAGGCTTTCGTGTAAGAATCTTAACTAATAGGCTCATTTGCTAGCTTTAAAAGAGAGCTCACAATAAGCAGAGTATGTACACTGGGACGTTCAGAATACTACAAAGCATCGCCAGCCATCTCCATGTCAATGAAACATAAGCCAAAGGTCCGACTAAACAGTAACCAACAACCCAAGCAACTCCAAAAATTACTTTAATATATTTCGAAATAAGCTTTTTTTGCGCAGTTGATAGTGATACCATTTGTGAAAAAGCGAAGAGAGATAGGACTCGTCTCATAGCAAAGCACCCAACTTGCTAATGCTGAACTCTACAGAAGAATGATATTAAAAACCTTTTCCCGATTTCATCTCACCGTATAGAAGATTCCTTGAAGTAGACGTAAGATAGAGAAAACATAAATGTTAGGTGAAAAGGCAGACAGAGCTCCTGTTATGGCCATGAGAGGATACGTAACAGCAAACACTGGTTTTCTACCATATCTGATAAGTTTTCAATAAGCATACTCAAATTGAGTGAGTGAATGTACTTGTCTGCTGCATGAGAAACTATCAAGCCTCCGATCATATTTCCAATCATGAAAAATGAACTAGGAGAATCTACCCATAAGGACTCTAAGTGAAACTAGAGAACAGCTATTCTTTTTAGAAAATATCTAATAAAACCTCATCCACGATTGATAAAGGTGTTTCCGTGCAGTTACCACATGCTTTACCAATGAAGGCTGATGACAAGTTCGCCGCAGCATAGCATAACATTGGCAAACTCCCAACAATAATCGTTCTCAATATGTAGAAGTTCCTCTTCCCTTAACTCATGAATATATAACGTAGAAACAAAATAGTACCTAAGTTCTTCAAGACATCATCAGGTGTCAGACGTTTCTTCTCGTTCAAATCAAGAGATCTGATTACAGTCATTGGATGGGTGGCCATAGCACCAAAAAAAGAATCTGATCAAATAGGAAAAAAACAGACAAGCGAGTGGTTTAACATAATTCGAAGGAATTATACAGTTATAATCATTACTTTGAAAGGTTTCATTGGAATTCGACTGCTGTGTTAAAATACATGAAAATCAATGAGTTTATACCACCAAAGGAATATGAAAAACTTTTCTGATGATAATAAGATTCATTATGATCTAGTTAAGTGATACACTTTGAGAAAGAAAATTGATCGATTATTATTCAAAACAATATTGACGTTCCGTATTATGCTGAAGATGTGTTGTTGGAAAATAGTTGAATGTTGAAAAAAACTAAATAGTATCAGAGATAAAACTTGTAGATGGTTCGGGATGGGAAGTTATGATGAGGACCATGAAAATCACACAAAGGTTGTATGATTGAAACAATGATCTTAGATGATCGTATCAGTTACACTGAATCTCTCTCATCTCTGGTTGATATCTCATGAATCGTAGAAGGAAGTGGCTTGTTTAGCGTTTCAGGCATTATAAAAACTAATAATCCGCCTAACAAGGATATGAAACCGAGCACAACCATTGGTAGACTGGGCCAGATTCTCCCCTAGAACTATCATTCAAACAAAGACATGAGATTGTAAAAACATACCAAAGTTGTTACGTAAGGCGCCAAAATTCCACCAATACGAGAAAGAGTTTCACAAAAACCGATCGACAAATTACGAATGTTGGTAGGGAAGATTTCGCTAGCATACACGTAGATCGACATGAAAGAACAAGAAATGGAAAATTTCCCCAGCATCCATAATGCTATTGTCACTGTATTTCCTTCTGGAAAAATTGAGTTTGAAGATTCAATCATATCTTCGAACACATAGATATGTTTTGATTCCATTTAATACCTTCCTTCAATGAAAGCGGTCGAGTTTTTTTGTAAAAACATGAGATTCATCATTTTTGTTTCTTTCCACAAATCGGGCGGTTGCGATCATTTTGATTACTAGGTTGTGAAGAAATACCTGAACAGAAAATCAATCCAGCAAAGCTCAGTGCAGCAAGTATATGGGTGCCCGAAAGAACAAACTTGCGACCGTATCTTATTCAAAATGATTTTTATACAAAATTCAGAGCTTACTTATTCATTGCGATTGGAGAAAGAATGTAAGCTGGAACTTCTACCAGACCCATGAGAAGATAATTCACGTAAACATTGCCAGCCAAATGAGTACTATACAAGGAGAGTCCAAAGTATATGAATGTGTCACAAATCCTGAACAATACCGAGTAAGATTGTAAAATGATGCGACGAATACCATAAATAAATGAGCACCGAAGTATACACAATGAATATTTTGTACTTCAACAACTCAGAAATCAAACTTCTGGGTCTAAATACATCATTGACAAACTGCTAAACATGGAATAACTCACTTTTCCTGTGTGATTTTTGTATGAACTATTTGAGCAGGTTCTAATGAACGAACATTATTAAAGTTTTTTGGATCAGCTCTTCTGAGCCAATCTTTTATCTCTGCTGAGCGTCCTTCTGACACTAAGTAGTACAAACTTTCAGGAAGATATCTGAACAATTTATTATGTTGATGTTTAAACTGGAAACTAACAAATAACATATCAAAGCCAATATGATATTGGGGAACGAGGTGTACACAATAAGCCATCGCCAAGTTGAAGATATGTAGGCTAGAGGAGCAACCATACAATATCCTAACACCCATGTTAATCCAAATAGAACTAACGAGCAAAACTAACTTATGGGTATAAAAATGGATACGTACCGTTGGTGAAACACCGTAATTGCAGTGGAGCGCATTCATATCCTAAAACCCAACCTACTAGTGCACCACCCTTTAAGTTTTTGGTAAGTTGTTTAGCTCGCAATTCCACTTACTGTATAGAAAACTCCTTGGAAAAGTCGACACACGAAAAACGTTTCAATATTTGTAGAAAATGCTGCCAAAATGCCAGAAAATGTGATTCCTGCCAGACATAGTAGAAACACTGGTTTGCGTCCATACCTATGGGTTTTTTTTGTTTTTGACTCAACTTTCGATATATAAATGACGTGTATGAACAGGCCACGTGGCAGTTTGGCAGCTTTGCGTTTCATTTGTAACGAGTTTTTGGAGCACGTACGGTTGTGTTTAAAAATAATTTCTCTTACTTGTCGGCATACTGAGCCACAAGGGCTCCGCCAACCATGTTTCCAACCATAAAACCCGTTGTTGTTAGATCAGCCAAGTAAGATTTAGAATCTCTCAGACCCCACTTAATTAGACGATATCTCAATAGATGGACAATAATGTCACCTCATCAACGATTGATATCATTGTTGTACAGTTTGTGCAGGTTTGAGTTATAAAAGCAGCATTTAATCCGGTCATAGATAGAACTGTCCATGATAGACCCGTTAAAATAATACAAGATAATAAGAAGTGGTTGCTCTTTCCTGAAAAAAAAGAGCAGAGATAGGGAGTACAAATGTATGAAGCATTACCCAAAACTTTGAGGATATCATCAGGAGTTTGTTTCTCGGAATCCATCTCTTCACAGTTGGTTTTCTTATCATTTAAAATATCGATTTCCTCCATTTTCACTAAACAAAAAACTTTATTAATTAAAATGAAACAATATGGACAGGTTGGACGAAGGACTAAACTGCAGAAGCTTTTTCATGAAATTGGAGGGGAGAAATATGACCAACAGCATTGTATTGCTATCGTACCAAATATGGAACGATAGATAACAATTCGAAATTTCGAAAAAAGAGAAACTTCTTTCAAAAACAAAGGAATTTTGAAAATAAAAAAATACTACGACTTCCACAACTAGGTTAGTCACTCGTTTTTATAGAAAAGGAAGTGAAATCTAAAAAAAAATATTTAAATGAACACCAGCTATCAGAGAAATTGTTATCTTTATGCAAAGATAAAAATTGAAGAAAAACTGTCGATAATTTCGATCTCTTTATCTTATTTTTTTTTCAAAATCTTGATCCCTAGAACTCTGAGAACAAACAAAAAAAATTGAGAAACAGCGTGCACTTTGAGGCCAACTGTCAAATTTATCTTTAAAGAAAAGTCTGAGAAGATATTTAAATTTGAGTTGATCAAACCGTTGCTGCTTGTCGTATAAGAGTGGACCAGAATAGTTTTGTTCCCGCATATTACGTACTTTAATCCGTTACACTTTTACATTTACAATTGATTGAAAGTGATTCATGGAGTTGAATCAAATTAATTTTTTTCAATTTCAATCTGTTTTTAATGGTCTCCTCTAAAGAGTGCTTCCGAATACCACGAATGATTGGATGAAGGATCCTTCAAAACAAAAAAAGTTTTTTTAACGATAAAGTTTCTTCGTTTATGCTTCTGTTAATTTTTCTCGGTGCTGATCACATCATCCACTTATTTCTCTGGGGAAAGATAAGCTTCAGAGACGAGTGAATGTCAGAAAGACAAAAACTTTTGGGAGAAAAGTGATATCTTCAAAACGCTTCACTTTTGATCTTATTTTCTCTATGTATGATCCTCCCACCGCTATTAATAGCTTATGTCAGAATGTCATTCGAAGCATTTCTTTTCACCTGAGTTTACGCTTCCTCATACATTTCGTTTATCTAAGTAGATATTCTTCAATGTTCCACAATCTATTCTGTCTTTTCTCCTAATTCTTATAAAATCATTACAGTTGGTATATCATGAAGCTTTATGAGGATCCTAATGATTTTCTGCAAGCGAAATGGAAACATGCCTTCTACATTTTTTTTGGTATGTACATGTGCATCAATTCAGATATAAGACTAGCAATTAAGATTTAAACTATAATGATTTCATCGACTGGAACGATTTTGTAACCTTAATGAATTTAATTGAACTCGCACGGGGTAAGCACAGCGATGAATACCTAACGGCAAAGTTTTGTCTGACCGAAGTTTGGGATAGTATGACAGAAGCTCTTGACATGCAACATGATGACAAGGTTCGAATGCCATGAAAAATAATCCTTGTTATGTTTTGAATAACAACAATAGTCGCATGCTAATATTTCCCGCCAAGATTAGACGTGAAACTGACGTGGCTTGTTTATTAACTTTTCGTTTCATAACTTACGGTTGCTACTATTTCCATTTCTATTAGATTCTATATTCGTTGAAGATATGCCTTACCGACTGGATATCAATGTGGACGAAATCTATGACACTGTCTAAAGCTCCAGCCTGGCAGAAAGCGTACGTAGAATATATATTCAAGCTCTTGGATGCTTCAGGTATGCTCTAAAAAATTATGAAAATTAAACGAATGGAATTGATAAAAATCCTAGGAGATAAGCTGGTGGACCAAGCTGAATACGTGCAAGTGTTAGGATACTTTGGAGTTCCTAAGACAACAGCTCTATGGTGTTTCGATAAATTTGCCATCGTACGTTCGTACTTATGTTTATAATTAATTAAACTTTGTGTTGAAGGATGACACAGGACACCCTGTTCATTCAATAGATTATCGGCGATTCTTGCAGCTTTGGAAAGAGTTTTTCACATCCACTGATGTGAACGCTCGAGGAAATTTCCTGTTGGGTGAAATAACATAACCTCTATCACCTTTCAGGAGTAGTTTGTACAGGTAGTAGAATAGATTTTGATAAAACTGGAGTCCCTGTTTTCATTTTGATCTGAAATAGTTTATTACAGAACAGAATACATATATAGGTAATCTCATTATTACGTAACCATATTGCAAGCACAACATGATAGCAAATAAATCAACAAGTTTTTTGATCTTTCTGTACAATCAGTATACAGAATATCTGCAATACTTCAAAGGTTTCTGCAGGTGCGACTCTTCTTTTATAAGAAAAAAGTCAAACCATGTCAGACCCGTTCGTGTATATCGTTTTCCCAGGCTATTGAGGTAGATTCGTTAGTGACAATGCGGACAATAAGGGCCCTTTTATTGAAAAAATGTTTCTCAGTTTCTATCGTTGCTGGTAAAAGCTTAATAAAAACTCATGATGACTAGTCTACGAACCGCAATGGCCCGTACGATAATCTCTGGTTAAATGGCTTTGCAAATCTGGTTCAAACTCCAAATTGTTGCCGGATAGTTGACTGATGAAACGGTTGATTCGTTTCATTTCTTTCCATCTCCGTCTTGGAGTAAAATTAACCATTTTCTCACATCTACCATTGTCTGGTAGTAAAGCAAAATCGGCGAATTGCCAATGTAACACCGAACTCATTTATCAACACCGCAGTGGGTTTCCTCTCTGTTAATGACTGAAATGAAATTTTCTTACTTAACCACATTTGAATTGTTGAGACAAAGACCTTTGGCAACGTGAAAGTTGGCTTTCTTATTCTTGATAGTTAAGACAATGTTAAGAAAGCCTCTATTTTCCTATTCACTTACAAGACTATATTTATCTCCAGCAATGAATCCTCGTGACCTCTCCCATTCTTTCACAGATTGGACAATACAAAGCAGTAGATCCATCTAGAAACAATAGATTTCTTAGGGTCAGCAAAGGTCTCTTGCGACAATCACTTTGAATCATTTCGCAGAACATCTGAAATAACAGAGGAATGAAAAGACGTATCGGCTGGCACTGTAATTTCGAAAATGAAAACATTCGAATGGGCTCTTTCCAACTCTACACATGAATTAGAGAAACAAAAAGTATATAGACATTGATAACTGTTTTTTCATCTACGAAGCAGACTGCAAGATTGAAATAATTAAACGTTTTTATTGTATTTGGTTATTATTATTTACAATTCAGTGAACAAGACAAGTGTTTTGAAAACGGCAGTGTACTTCAATTGAGATTCAAGAAAGCAGAATATACACATATGTATAAATATATAAAAGGCATAATCATACAAGTGATTTCAAACAAGGCATTCAACAAAAAAAACAACAAGATGCTATTGTGCCCCTTCTCAGGCTTAAAGGAAACTAGATACACATCGGGATCACAACTTTTCAGGCGAATTCTTCAGGCTCCCTATATATAAAATTCTAAAACAACCAAGAATCCGAACAAGTCCTTCACAGAAATATAACGAATCTCTGAAAGTAAACATCATTATCTTACATTACAATCATATTCATATCATGGCTACATCAATCGCAGAAGAATAGGTGAATTTTGAAAAGAGCCCGAAAAGTTGCGCAACTTCGGCCTCGGCCTCAAGCTCATTATCATCATCTGATAAGTCAATTACGCAACAAATCTAAATCTTTTCAGAAACCTTTTTATGATTGAATGTTTGCAATTGCTTATGAAAAACTATGGTTCGATTTTGGCAGAACATAGCCACTACGACAGATGTCTCACTCGAAAGCATGAAGAGAAGGCTATGTAACAGGCTCAAGCCAAGTTCGAAAAATATGAAAAGTGAGTATGGTCAACAAAACAGGCCACATATGGAGAAAAGAGAATAGAAACCGGTATGATATTTTCAAGAAAACGTTGAAAAGATGTGAAGGACATTTAATTGAGACTTACCATTTCAATAAAAAAAAGTCAGCGGTCTATCACATCCGCTTAGTTTGAATAACTCCATTTAAAACTAAGGAGCGTCCATTCCTTCTCTTGATAGGACTCTTCCTAGGTGAGGTTACAGAACTCGAACACTCGAACGCAGATTCATCATCTTTAGAAACAAATCTTAAACAAAATTCTCAAAACTGTTTTGAAGGTTTCATCAAACCTGAACGGGCTCCCTGGGGGATCAACTCTTTTATTCTTCATTTCCGACTGCGACTTCTTTTGTATAGCGTCCAAAGATCTTCGCTTCCTCACGGTAAGGTAATCTGTAAAAATTCAGATTGAAGAAACTGATATAACTTAATAGGCAGAGGTTAAAAAGGATTCCGGCAGTGCGTGTTACTCAACACCTAGCCGATGAGAGCCAATTATTTTATAACAACGAAAACCGATATAAAAATCAAAGAGTAATAACAAGAAAAAGATAAGAAAATGAAACGCACTTGTTAGTTTGGCCTGTTTCAGGTTGCATTCCTTTTGAGGCGTCGAATCGTTAGCAAGTTCTCTCCTCGAGAAAGATCTAAAACAGCAATCAGAAGACATTCGCAATACCTATGCTTCATACCTAGTCTTAGGACCCGAAGGCTCTTTAGAAGTTGAAGCAACATCCAGGCGTACCCTTGGACATCTTTTACTCGGGCGATATACAGATGGAACCTAGTTACATACTTCATATTAGGTGTTGTTAATATAAAACAAACCTCAGCAGCCCTCAACTTTTCAAACTCAATCTCTCCATCTTCGAAAGGCCTACCAGCCACGAAATCAAAACTCCATTTCTCTGACTTCTCTTTATTAATTTGACTAAGTTCATTCGTTAACCATTCATCAACCTCAAAAAACCGATATATATATATATATGAGTTTGAAAACTATTATTACCTTCTGCTTATTCGGTTTCCCAAACAAACATCTACGGACAGATTGACGCCTAGTCACTGGAGGCTCCATCTCTGAATATGTCAAAGTAAAAACCGAAAGATAAGAATACAAGACATAAAACGATTGAAAAAAAAGAAAGAATGAATAAGGAAGCTATATCAAAAGCATTTAGGAAATTTCTCACAAACTTTACAAAGTTCTAATTAGAATATAAAGTTGAAGAATTGTCGAAACAGGAGGTTGAAAACAAATCGAGCCAGATGCGAGCGGTCGCGTCGCGTATAGAACGCTGGACCACGTTTGCGATAAGGATTCCTATCATATGCAATTATTAATGTAAATAAGCAACGAAGATAATACATCTCTAAGGTTTGAGGTTTACTAAGGAAAACTCTTTAAAGTAATAGAGAATCACATTTGATCGATTGAAGTTCTTTGTAAAAGTGTAGTAAGTAGTGCAATACATTTGACATAGATCTTCCAGAGATAGCTAGCCAAGGACTTATACGGTATAATGCAGGTCCCAATCTTTTATAACAACCGCAGTACGGCCAAGATAAACCATAGAAACGTTTCTGAATTCTCTTTGAAGTAGGCAAGAGAAGAAAATTTGAAAAAAAGTGAAACAATGGCCAACGTGAGTGAAAACGTTTTATGAAAATACCATTATATGTATATGTAAATGATGGCTGGATGAAGACTGAATGAGGAGAACGAAATGAGAATAACGATTAAAAAGAAATGTAGCACATCTGAATCGCTTCTCAGACATTTCAAAACAATTTACGATTGGATTTCGTAAGTCTCCTATCGTAAACGCCATCAGCATTATAGACTGACCACCTAGTACCTTTACTTTTTTTGAATGATTGTTGCTTTCCGCAATTCAATTACTGTATTGATCAATTATTTTGAAATTACAACTTATTTGTATTTGATCGTAAAAAAATATTTCTCACCAATTTCGATTAGCTCTTCGTTTCCCGCTAATTTGCGATTTACGGTATTGAGTATTTCTTCATTCTTCCAAGTCCCCTTATGTAGGACTATAAAAGGATTTCTGTAGCGTATGTTGTTTCAAAACAGACTGATAATTATCCAAGAAGTTAAGTACTCGAATGCTTCCATGTGGGCTGAATGGAGCTGTTGGAAATTCCATCTTGTGTTGAGATCTGGCAGCATGTGTGCTTACTATTATGTATAAATTGTATGGTATAGTGCCATTGATCCACTAAAATGGTTGGATATTAAACCATCTGGTTAGGCTAAATGGTGAAGTGAGAGCAGCTTGATGTGTGATGGAAGTGGGAAGCGAGAAGATACATATAATTATGTCAGTGGTAGAGACGAGGAAAGCAAAGTCTCTTCTCTTTTTTCCAAAATCCTTGAATATATTTCATTTTGAGGTTAGCTTGTCAATACTATGAATGCACCACAATTAATGTCAAATTTGTATAAAAGATTGACATGTTCAAACATCCATTTAAGGTAATTATTTGAGAAATACAAATTCTATCTTGGTTCCAAACAAGAGACTGTCACAACAACTCGTACTGAACGATGAACAACCGATCTACATATGTGCTAATGCTAAATGAAACAGAGAAGCATGAACTCATCTAGATAACAACCCACATATTTTTTCATAAAGTGAAAAATGAACTTGTTCTCAACCTCTTGGGTAACTGTTCTCACCATGGGCCAGAGATTCGATTATTAAACCACACAACCGTTTTTTGCGTACCATCTTCGTCATTTCAAATCGTTTCCTGTGAGGCAGCTGATGCATTCATTATATTTTCTGTAGGATTACAAGCTGTAAACCCCTCCATTAATAGAAAAACGACGTAATCCTATGTAATTCTAAAACAGCTGCAATGCATGAAAACGGTGAAGCATGACTGTGTTTGATTTTGTTGATGAATGATCCCTCATCTTGAAAAAAAAACTGCTTAAATGGATAGCCAAGATTGAATTGACAGTAATAGAACAATCTGTTAGTCATTTACAGATCTGGAAACATTTGGTCATTAAGCCTTAAACCATCTGTAGAATCTATTTCCGGATTAGATACAATTTATGCTTGTCTAATTGTCTGATAGTCATACTCATAGGAGGCATCTGGTGGAGTATTGTTGAAGATAATATGAAAATTTGTAAATCTTTTCTTATTGAATAATATTGCATTGAAGAGTTACAAGAAATGAATGTTAGAAAAGGTGAAGTGGCTAGATATTTTTACATCGAGAAGTCCATCTGTCATCATTTGGCAGACGTACTACGTAACACAATGTGAGATGACACTCAACTATTCTAAGTACCTGCTGACCATGTCTGACCTCTCTAGCTTGATGATCTTCAGAACAAAAAAAGAAGAGGAAAAAGAGTACAACTCAGTAGAGAATATATGCAAAGAGATGGATGACTAATGACTCTCCCATCTATTCAGACGACAGTCTCTCTCATTCAGATTCCATCATACTTCATTATATAATTCGCTTTAAAAGAATAAACGTAACTTCAAGGAACAGATGTTGTGGAATGGAAAAGAAAACCACTTTCTATGTTGAACCTTTCACAGATAATATACATTAGGCTGAAGTTATTTGAGATATAACAGTTGGATTTCTTTGTTTTTTGGCAATACAACTGTCGTTTTGGTAGATTATATATTATAATGAAGAAAGAGATCAGTTTCTTCGAAAGAAAGAGTATTGTAATAATGACCTGTCAACTGACGTTCTTTTTTCTTCATAAACTTTATAAACTTTTATGAGTCAAATCTTTGTGAATCACATTTGGACGAACTTCACAGCTCTTCTTATTCATCATCTTTGTTATTTATAATAAAATTTTCTGTCTGTTTATGTATATGCAAATCTTAAGAATCCTTTAAAGTAATCGTTTGTCGTCTTCTTACTCTCCTAGTTGATAAGGCATGACATTATATGGGAGAAATTGATAAGCCTTGGCAAACATCCAAGGACGCTAGTTGAATAAGGATGTGACGTGATAAGATTTATTGAAAATGAAGTCAAATAAGGATAGTAAATTAGCATAAAAAGAACAATAAATGTTGATTGAGTGATTTCTCTAAGTATGAAGGTCATTGACACCTACTGAACAACTCTGTCCTATGAAATACGATCAAAATGGAAACAATAAGAAATTAAAGAACACTTTGACTTCTCATATGTGAAATCATACTCTCTGAAAGGGCAATAAGGCTCATTTGAATGTGAAGCTTGTAAGCGACAGTGCTGATGAACGAGTTGACGTAGGGAGATAGGGCAAAAGCCACTGGGTACAGTTTTTCTATATTAAACTTTCAGTCCATCATATCTGCCGTACTCTTGACTATTCTTTTTTTTTTATTATTTTTTAAAATGTAATGATAAAGATAGTTCTTCATTTATCAGACGTTTCCCGCACTCCTTCAAGTATTTCGTTGGGACGATTGCTCGCTTCCCTACCGACTTTTCTTCTCATTCACCTTTTTTTTATTAATATGAACTGTTTTTTCTTCTCTCACTTCTTCTCTCCTTTGCTTAGATATTCAAATCGTGACTTTACCCCTCATAAAGTGATGCTCTTAGGGTTCTACAGAATCTGGGTTCACTTTCTATAAATATATAAACTTCCCTATATGACTACTTGAAGAGGAACATGTAAAACTACAGTCGAAATCCTCAATATTCGGTTGAGTCCCGTTCAAGTAGAATACCATTTCTTCCTTATTCGGTATGCAAATGATAAGCCCTCTAAAGCGAAAAATCCGAGTCAGACGTTCTTCAACTTTCTTATCGATTCGGTGTTCATTTCAAGAAAAAGTTTATCATCCCCCGTTTATTTGATTGTGAAAGACATATTATCAAGAGAGAGGAACGATTTTTTCTTTACAAACAAATCATTCGAACAGGAAAGAAAAAAGAGAATCGTCTGTTTTGCGACTTTATGGGCTTCTGCGAATGGCTTCACGATGAAAGAGGAACAGTCGTTCTGCTCTAGTTATGATCTTTCAGTAGTCTTTTACTCTTTTGCCGAAATCGCCACAATACATATTCCGCAACGAAATTTCTGTTCATCATTCGATTCAGCATCGTAAATGTTGATTCTGAGGTATTCAAATGAGGAAGCTTCGGTACTTAACCGGCAGGACATTTTTTCTTAAACGATCGAACACTCATCACACTTTGATTTTCACCGACACAAAAGATTTCACAGTTGAAACTCAGTAGCAGCTGATTTCTTTAATTGAAAGTCTTCTTTTCGGAACATTTCTTCTTCAATTTCAGTTCGATCATCTCTCTTCCTTAGCTTTCTGTGATACAAAAGGAAACAGCTGACAGTTGTAGGTTTCATTTTGTGTCCGGGAGTTCAGATTTTGTTCTGGTAGACTGCTCTTTTTGAATTTAATTTTCAAGTAAATTCTGCATCAAACGAGGCCAGGTCTCAGCTGGTGGCTGATATGTGATGACAGCCATTCAAATGACTATTTCCGCTTTTCTTCATTCGGAAGTCTATATAAGAGGACAGATTATGTGAACCGGCTGTCACTTAATATATCTTCTATTAATCTTCTGTATGTGCCGGAGGCAATTGGTGATTGATTATACTGCATGAATTAGCAGTATGTGATGAAACTCGTTTTTAAAATTCCTTTTTATAAATGGCCCGTCCCTTTCAGTTTCCGACTCTAATGAAATTCATCATGTTTTGACCATATTTGACTGTCGGATACCGATAAATGAAGATGGTTTTGAGGCAAAAGATGAATAGAAAGCGATTGGCTTTGTGCACTAAAACAGCCGGCTTTTCTACTTCATTAATCATCTCTTGTCAAGACATGAAGAAGCAAACGCTTTTTGCATTAAAAGGAGGCGGTAGAAGCTTTGGAGCTCAGGTTGTATGTTTAATTAACTGCTCATCATCATGTTTTTGACAGTAACATCTTTGCTTGAGCACAAGCCGCCTACTCGTTCATCTTTTGAGACTTCCATGAACATGATGATAGGAAAGAGAGGACAAGAGGTGAGAGCATGTACCATATGGGATACGAGCTCAGAGTACAGAGTGAATGGTAGAGTATGCGAAAGATAGAGAGATCAAAGGACGGTATAGAACAAACGATAGAAAACTAACTCAAAGGGCAGAAAAGAGAGAGAGGGAGAGACAGTCATTTCATTGTTTTGTTTACTAAAGGCCTTAGTCGGTCAACAGCTTATTATTATTCAAATAGTACGGCACAGTTCTTTTTAGTAGATATACATAAATTAAACAATATGCCATTTCTGTGAAAAGAACAAGTCGAGACCTCCAGATGACCCCGGCTAACCTTTTATCCTTAATACGACCACCACTAAAGCTATTCAAAGAATGCTTTTTTGGAAGTGCCGAATTTGATGAAATTTATGGTTTAGGCTGCAAGATCATGAACAGCTAACTAAATGTATTCCTCATTCCTCTCTATGCACTCAGAACTCCGATAATAAATTTCTTTTCTGCATGTATTTACAGCTGAATGTAATTATGTGCCGAACATTTTCGTTTTTCAGCTTTTCTTATTGATTACAAAAGTTTATCAATAGCTCTGGCTGATAACAAAAACTTTCTGAGTGCGGAACGAGCAAAAAAAAGTGATGAACAGCATAAGTTTTCTGATACAGGCGAACATTGAATGGAGTTGTTAAAGAGAGCCAGAATAAAATAAAAGCCAAATAGGGTCAATCTTAAATCTTACTCGACCTATTCATTCATGTTAGATAATCCTTATGCCATAGAGGTCAAATCATCACCTAAATATGAATATATTGATTAAGGGTCAACTCAATATATAAAAATTATATAATTATGATTAACTATATGTATTATTAAATAAGATAATGTTATCAAAAGACATTTATTTCTAACACTTAATCTTTATTTTCCATTACTCCTATCCCTCTGTGTTAACTACTTACCTTATACGAAATATGATTAATATGCCCCTCAATAACCATATCTGTATGTGTTGTACACAACCGCTCTCGACACTTGCATGATAATAAACAGAGAATTCCCGTGAAATTGAACGCCACGTTGAAAACGTGAAACGCGTGATATCGCCATTGAAGAGTTTGATAAGTGAATAGTACACATTTAAGATTATTTGTAGTTTTGAAGAATTTTTTTTATACAACTGCATACAGATGTTCAATTCAATGAAATAAAGCAGCTGCTTGAACCATTTTGTTAAATCTGACTCATTTTGTCTTTTTTGCATGAAAGAGAAAGTTGAGTCAATTAAACAGGTGAAACGAATGAGAGATGTGATAATAATTTGATAAAGGATTTCATAAGGTAAAGGATAAATACATATAATTGACCTTCAAACTAATCGTTGAATATGTTTTTTTCTTTTGTACCATGCAGAACCATGTGAAAAAGCAAAGAATTCAGAAGACCTCGGCTTTTTTTTTTAGAAAATCTATTCTTCAACGTCAATGAACTGAAACGCTATGATTTGCATAAAATAATTTTATTTAGAAATTTTGATATGGCTTACATCTATGTATATGTATATAAACAAAATAAAACGAAAAGAAAAGCAAAATACCCGTGAAAGGGGGGAAAAACAATGCTATCACAGGGATATAAGTTAAATATTCTTTGTAGAATAGGACTAGAATGATGAGTAGATAGTTGATGATAAATATTATTTTAGACGCGAGCGTCGTATGAGCGGCGAGAAGGTAAAACGATATCTAATGATTTAGGAGATCGTTGAAGACGCTTCTTTCTTTGAACTTGGAACATATCTGAAACATTGAGAATGAGCAAGAGTTTATCGTTTGTTTTCAATAATTATAAATACGTTTTTGATGAGTCAGCAAAATAAATTTGTTTTTATTGTTGTAAAGTGGGGGAAAGACTCACCAGTTACTTTTCCTTGACGTTTCTTAGGAGTGGCACAAGTTCTTTTGGATGGCTCAATGGGAGATAAGGTGAAGTCCATACTTAAATCGCTTTCATCAGCAGAAGAGATTGATGATCCCGTAGAAGTGTTAAGGAAGCTGTTTTCCTTTGATGGACTGCTGGTTGTAGATGAATTGATGAACTTATTGCGATAGAATTCAGGAGCGCTACTATCAATGATTGCAATATAATCGTAGTCTGATGTCCCAGGTAGAGGACAATCTTGAACGAAGTCATATCCATACTTTTCTTGAGCGTTCATTAAAGCTTCTTTCAGCTTATCACTGAGCCATTTATTTGTCGCAATTGGGTCAGAACGACCGAAAAGACAGCGACGAGCATTTCTCTTAGATGGAGAAGCAGTGCAAGACGAACGTTTCGTAGGTGTTGCAATACAAGCAGAAGACATGGTAGTCGTAAGTAGAAGCAGAGACAAAGCTGAAAAGAAATAGAATTAATAAAAACTGTATTACAAACAAGCAGAAAAGAAGAAGAAAAACGAAACGATATCCCACAGTGATTCTCAACAATTAAAGAAAGGCTCTTTTTCGAATTGAATGAGATGTAAATGAGATGTGAAAAGATCGCAATATCAAAAGCAATTTGTTATAAAACTAGATGATCAAGCCAAGAGCAGTATATGTCCAACTGGCTGCTTCTATTCGATATGACCATCGGTGGTGGTTGGTGAGAGGGGTGGAGTCGAATAGAAAGAGGGTGGGCTGGGAGGAAAAGGCCGCCCCTGACCAGCATAGGTTATATGTAGATGAGATAGTATATAATATAAAGAGGCACAATGGATATTCAAATACTGACCGAGGCTAATTGCAGAGCCGAGACGAGAGCTGGCAAGGTCAAAAGGCCGTTCGAGTTAAGCCATTGAGAAGAGAAGACAAAGAGAATGCTAATGAAGGAGGGTGTGAGAACGGATTGCAATGAAGAAGAACAGAAAGATACACAAAGTTATTGGGAAAATACCGAAAGGATGGTTTTTTTCTAGCTTTCTTACTAGGTTAAGACCGGCCATATCCAGTTACATTCTGATATTCCTTGTCTGTTATCGGACTTTCATCTTATGTATACAAACATCATATAACTAACCAATACACACAGAAGCAATTGATTGAAGAATAATATTCAACCGATCTATATGTCTGCTTTTCTATAAATGAAGCTTCTGACACATTTCGTCTAATTTATACAGAGACAGAAATATCGATTAGTTTTGCCCGAAGGCTCAATGATGACCGATTTGAATATACGATAAAGCTGACGATATAGCTTAGTGTAATGGTCGATGGGAAATATTACAGTCAATCAGAAGGGATAGAATCACAGAAGCTAAATCATTAATAATAAAATGATGAAAACGTTCTGCCAGCTGGTAACCCCGAGGTATAAAAAAATTTCGTAAGAAAATAGTAGAAAAGAAAAGAGCCTGGGGTCACGGAGGATGCATATGAGTCATAAAGATTTGTCATCGCATTTATACAATCGTCACCCTCACTTCCTTCTTTAAACCACAAAAAAACTTTTTACCAGGTGAAACTATATATGTTTTTTCTGAACAGCAAATAGTTTTCACTAGGAGCAAGTGTGGGTTAGAGAAAAGAATATGATGCATGAAGCAGGATACATTATGTATCAAACGAGCGAAGCAAATGGAAGCAAATTACATAAAAGAGACAAATATACCAATTTCAAAATGTAAGCAGATGGTTTTAGGAGGTCAAGCTGTCATTTGGAGAACTAACAGCTCCAGCCGGGGTTGTCATGACACTCAAGCTTCCAAAAATAAGAGACAAAAAATAGAAGAAAACAACACAGAAATTGTATTAAGAAGAAATATCAGAATTCATAGTGAAAAAAAGCTCAAAAGATAAGCTTGCAGAAGAAAGACCAGAGACCTCCGTCGATCGCTCTCGTATGCCAAACGACTACCCGTTAGACCAGCCGATGAACGTCATAGGACCGCCCTTTTCGATTGTCGACCGCCCACAGCCGGTGAGCAAAAAGACTTTGGGTGACAGAATAGAAAAAAGACGATTTAACTCCGCCCCTTGGCAGTCGTTCAACGCGAAACGAGAACTGATAATGGAATGAATGTCCCAGAATGGTTTTTCGTTCCTTTTTTTATCAGCCTGGACGATGCTTAGTTGTTGTGTTAACGCGGAGGTTCTGGTGTGGCTAATAACCTGGGAAGAAAAACATCAAATGACAACTTATTGGAAAAATAAATGAAGGAAAGGGGAAGGAACATTTAATCTGTCTGAACTGAATGAATAAGATATGAAAGGAACTGTGAGAAGTAGAAACTGGAGTTACGCGCCAAAATTTGGTTAAATGAGAAAAAAGAATAGAAAACTGAAGAGAAGAGAGTGAGAGATAGGATACACGAAAAAAGAAAAATTGAAAGAGAAGAGCCACTTGTTGGCAGTTAAAAGTGCAGACAAAGTAATGAATGATTTCATGCAACATTTTCAGAAGACTGAGGGAAGGACCGAGTATACCGTTCGCCAAATGTCTGCGTCATCTCTCTCTTCATATGAATCTGGGGGATTGTGAATGAATCATTCGAATGAAGAGCATTTAAGATTTTTCAAGCAGCTTCTTCTCTGTGAATAGACTTTATGGCGACTGTCAAAGCAAAAAAAGTCTTCTCTATCGTTTGTTTATCACAGTTTTACCGCATTCGCTCTCTCCAGATATTCCTATCAATTGAAAGTCCAAAGAAGCGCCAAAAAGTGGTAAAAACAGTTTGATAGGAAAAGCTCTTTTTCAGACCACAACTGTCATCAATTAAATGATGAACGTTTCTGACATTTTTCTCGATAAAAATCATTGTAAGAAGAATAAACGATGGGAACCATCCATTCCCTAAGGCGTTGGTGGGAAATTAAAGAAATCAAAAGGTTTTCGTTATTTGATGAGATAGAAAATGTAATGAAGGCAGAGGGTTTATCAAGACGGATGAAAAGCTTTCCATGTTTTCTCAGCATTTGTAATATTTTTACAGAATGAAGAAGAAACGAGGAAAATGTGGTCAAATGATTCGCGTGCCATTCCTTCTGTTCTCGCGCCTTCGGAAAAAAATCTGGTTTAAGGCATGTAAACAACAGCTGAATTACTCATCATCCGGTTGTTTTATTTTATGTTTCTTCTTCTCATATTCTATTATTTTTCCTTCTACCTAAACCGCGCGCCAAAATTTTCCGTATGAAGAGATGAAGGAAAACAACGAGGTGAAAACGACTAGAGACTTCTCTTCAGATCATTGTACTGAAGAGGTTCAGGAAAGAACGTAGGGATTCCCTTATAACTATCAGAAGAATGTAACCATTTAAGGAGCCAGTTGGACGTGGGGTGTTAGAAGCGAGTTTTTTGCCGCGCGCGGGCATCTGAATCCCGGCAAAGACGTTTTCACGTCTTCCAAAGGGACACACGTTGATTTGCACAGTTTTTGAGCGCGAAAGCTGATTGAACGACAACAGAAATGTAACAAGAAAGATTTCAGATGGTCAATGGCTATTAATTTCAATAAAAACATGAGCGAACAGTCCTGTCAGCTACTGTGAGTGACAACAGAGAGGGAAAGTATCAAAAAATTCTATTTAAATGGTTAAAACTATTTTTAAAAGGAAACTCAATAGCACTTCAAGTTTTTATATAATTTGGTCAATCAGATGGCTGTTTTTGAACTGTTTAAAGAAAACCGCTCGAAGCAAATAAGCCTTTGCTGGTCATCTGATTGAATTCAATCAAGACTTCAGTACAAACTGTCACTGGGATGAGGCTAGATCTCTAGCCAAAAACGAGCAAAGAGTCTATCTTGGCGCCATCTTCTACCTATTTTCCTAGTTTTTTGAATGTTTTATAGACTATTTATGTATATAAACTCACTAACCCACTTCTCTGAATGAATATGGCAAAACGAATTAGTGGAAAATGAAAAAGTTTACCTTTTCCTTTTACTCACATTATGACGCGAATGAGAAACGAAAAACGTAGGAAGGAGAACCATCTCAATGGCACCCAGCGCTTAACTTTCATGACAACATCTTCAGATTATATCTGTGAAAATTCATTTCAAGAATAAAACTTTAAAGGATGAGGAGAAAGATTGACGCTCGATTTCACGGTCGGAAATCAAACGAAGTAAGTTGAAGTACATACGTCGAAGCATGATTAGACATGCCGATAGGAGGACGAGGTCATAGCCTTCAGATGACTGACCGACCGCAAACGATTTTGAAATAGAAAATGCTAATTACTTTTGGCATTCAATATTCAAATCACATAAAATTTTGGAAAAAAAACTTTAATAACTTCTTTGAAATGAAAGTTTTGTCGCCCCTTGCAGTCTTTCATTTGGAATGCAACCGCTTCATGCTACTTCATTGAGAAAAATGAAATGACTATCTCTTTACATGGAAGATTCAAATATGATTTGAATATTTTTGAATTTGTTATTGATAATTCAAATTGACAAGTGTTAATGATAACAATCATCATAATGAGGTTAGTTGATAAGAACGAAATTTGAATGATGATTCGTCTGATAGAACGCAATTATCATCGAATCAAGGACAAAATTTGAATTTTTGACGAAAGAAAGAAATAAAGTTTGATTGACACAAATGATAAATGATAATACGTAAAATGAGAAAAAAAAAGTTTCTGTTCGAAAATGAATCCAAAATTACATAAGACTATGAATATGTATTCGTAATTATCTAATTGAACATCAATATTCTCAAGCCATTCAAATAACTTCAGCGATGAAGGTAAAATGTCATTTAATGAAGTGGAAGGATAGAGACATGACATGAAAAAACATTCAAAAGAGAATATTAAGGTCATTTGATTGAAGATAACATCGGGAACTAAAGCTATCGGCTCTCATAGCCAAATGCCAATTGATGTCGGCAAATTCGCAAATTTCTCTTTTCAGCACATCAGCGAGAGATTCTTTTAGCAAAAACTTTTTTTCTTCTCACTTGTTCAACAACAAAATGTGAGAAAACGGAGAATTGTTATCAAACACAGGTTGAGGCTTAAGTTTATCAAGTTGGAAATGGCTAGGCGTGAAATTTAACAAGAAAATGCAACCACTGCAGCCGATTCCTACATAAGGCACACAAAAACTAACGTCTGTAAGTAAAACTGTTTGAGTCCAGGTGGTATCACAGTCTTGAACAAAGACGTAATGAAAAAACGATATGACTATATACGCCTTATCATATATTCTTGAAACACTCACCATTTCAGTCACAAAAAAACGAGCGAGTTCATTTTCATCTGAACAATTTCGAGCGTTTATGATTCTTTTTTTTTTCTTAAAAAAATGAAAAGAAAAGCGAAATGTAAAAGAGATTTTTATCGAAGAAAATCGTGTTCTATGCAGATTTCGTGAGGATGATTCACTTAAAAAAATGCTGAAAATTCGAAAAAAAACGTCTTTGAGATGCAGGAGATTAGACGTGAGACGTGGTTTGAAACGTTTTTTTCATAAAAACGATTTGCGCTAAGAAAGTTCTAGAAATTTTAAGCAGAATTAGGGATAATTAGTATATTCGGAGTGACAAGCACATATGTACTTTCATGTCCACAAGGACAGGTTTCACTGTTACTGTTCTGCTTACGCTATTCAATCCTCGAAATTGTCTCAAACTCTCGGAATGTCTGTCTATTGAGTTGATGAGACTTTTAGGGAGTTACATACATCACTCGTATCTGAGTCATATGTTGTTAATGGAAGAGAAGGTAACGAAGGATCCTCCGGAGAGAAACACTTTTTTTTCTCAAACAGCCTGTTCCGACAGCATTCCCTTGTTATTTTAACTGTTTATGTACTTTTTTAAGGAAATTACATATAAAAGACATGTGTTCTATCGCCCCAGGTGGTCCGTGCCTGAAGATATTATCGGTTTTTCGCTTAGAACAAGGTCGTACTTAGCTTTTTTTAATTTCTTTGAAGTAACTGAAATGAAGTTGTTCAAGGGTCCTTTCATCATACTGAAAACCCCACGGTTGGTCTGCGAGTTCCTTTTCTCTATTGACTCATAAGGGTTAAACGGTATGAAGGAAATATTCATTTTAAAATCAGCCCCATGAGACGATACCCAGATGAGAGAATTGAAAGAGAAATCTTCGAAAAGTAAACTCTGCCCTCTGAACTAAATTTTTAATATTTTAAAAATCAATAGCTTTTGAAAAGAATTTATTGGGAATGATGTTCTTTCATGCATATTTTAAATAAAACAAGTGTAATTGACCTGAGAGCATGGAAGCTTAAGCTTAGGCGTCAGTCAATTGTGAGAAATATTCATTAAATCTTCTTCTTTTAGTGGATTGAAGCTTCACAAACTTCATGACCATATGGAATTCTGTTGAAGACATCTATAATAACATTTAAAAATTGATGATGTGGTCTTCATTACATTCACTTCATTCACGACAATGCTCTTCTCATAATTCAGTTTGGCTCATTTATCATCTCTCCTTTTTTGAACAAAAAAGGAAAACTCATAAAAATTTCATATTCTCTGTTCCTTAGAAGCTTTTCATAAGACTTACAAAAAATTTTGAACTAAAACGTTTCTTCAACTCTTTGTTCAAATTCGCACTTCCTACTTCATTGCCATGTACTACGAACTTACTTGCCTTATAATGCAGAGTATAGAAGAAGACCAAAATGCAATTGAGAGAGCGTTAAGCTTGTAGAGCGTTTGATTCAGTGAAAAACAGAATATGCAGCTAGAACGAGAGAGAGGAAAAGATGAGAGAGATAGAAAGAGACAAAAAGAGAAAAACGCCATCATGAGGCAGAGCTGAAGCTCGAATTCGGGGTGGCGTATGCCCACCCTTCCTAACGTCGTTATCCAGTTTAGCTTGGCCTTCTTGTCGTCCGATTCCACGATTTCAGGAGCTCTCGAAATATATCTGAGTGAAACAGAAATTAGTTTTTTGTCTATTTCATGCTTCCAAAATATACTTTTGAAGTTGTTTATAAAGTGGAAGAGACTGAAGTTAGTTGTTATTCTTCCCAAACTCATCATTACTTTTATCGCCTGATAGCTTTTTATTTGAGCTCAACTATGGACTTAATTATAAGTTTGAAAATTTTCTCCTCCCTCACACTAAGTCATTATATGCACTTTATTGATTGATTGTTTCGTGTTTACGTGAATTTCATTTTCTCCAACGTTTTACATGTGAACGGTTGCCTTCAATCATTTTTTTATTAAAAACTTTGTGTAAAATGCAAAATCTTATGAATTGAGTCATACAAAGTTAGGAAAAACAATGTTTTTTCGTCGGAAAACGGAATATTGCCTTTCTAATTATATTTTTCTGTTCTTTAACTTGGAATAACATAATTTCTGGTACTTTCTGCCAACCCATACTTTTGTCTAAGCCAAAGAATAACTTCTTCAGATGGGGAAATGATTTGGAGATGTTTAGCGATTCTTTTCTTCATAAAGCCTGTAGAGGCTTTAATTACTTACAACATTGGTATTTTTGATTTTTTTTCCATAATAATTATTTTGTTTTACAGGCACAATTGTTACTCAGGGTTCATTAGCCTATGAGAATATACGTTATGCTGTTGATCGATGGAATAGCGAAAACTCAGCTCATACGGAGATTGAGTTGCGAATTGTAGCTCCTGTTCATTCTCAAAATCTTGAGGAAAAATGTTTTGCTTTCCATGACAGCTCTTTCTTATTTTATTACTTTATTTAGTTTGCGAGATACTTCAACATGCTGTTGTTGCGGTTGTTTTACAACCCCACATATCAAAACTTGATGACACATTAGCCAAATCGATGTGCCATCATTTTAAAATTCCATGTTTATCCGTATTTTCAAGGAATCATGAACACTCTGGTAATTGGAAACATTTCTACCTCTCACATTTCATTTATCTCTTATCTCTGTAGTTTCTGATTTCGTCACATCACTCGGACCATCAAGAGGATTGGCAGCTACAGCCACAAGTCAATTTCTCGAAGATTTACGATGGACTTCTTTCTTATTGGCTTATCAGCAAGATTCAGGTATGTATTTGTAAAAGAGAACCCATTTGCTTATATTTCATATAGATTTGGAAGATTTGGCTCCGCTCATATACACAAGATCGGAAGGAGAAATTCGTCGTCCAACTATAAGAGTTCGAAAGCTACCCAATAACACCCATGACTATGAACCATTCCTTAAGTATGTGAAAAATAAATTGAAACAAACTAACATAGTGAGTTTAAAACTTGGTAATGAACAAATTTTCTATTCATTTCAGATAATTCATTCTTACAATATTACCACTTTGTACAACTTACTTCAACAAGCCAGAGGGTTGAATATGACCGACTCTCCTTTTTCTTACGTTTTCACTAATACAGTCAGTTATACCGAAATGACCTTAAAATCTCTGTTTTCTTTCAGGATTTATCACTGTTAGAAGACTTCCTCAATAATATTTATGGTCACTTCCATTGTAATATCACTGGACTGCAGCTTGTTAAAAACGACCCCATGATGAAGGTTTGGCTCTTTTCCAACCCCATCTCTATATTTCCCATTTCAGACAGAATTAGCTCTAACATCTGAAGCAATTGGAGTTATTGGTAGTTCCTTACATCGCCTTCAAGAGGTTTTTTTTACTTTCAAATTTAAAAAGAGTTGTGACAAACTGGTTTCTCGAATTAATGATGTTTTCTGTCCTTGTCCTTCTTTATTGCGGAACCTTTAACTCTCCCTCTTCCCCAATAATTTCTCTCTCTCTCTCACCCTTCATTTTCATCTTCAAAAAAAAATAAGAAAAACCAACAATTTCGAAGTATCCAAAAAGGAAAATTATTGAAAATTGACAATCAAAAGAAGTAACAATTAAAATTGCAGATTGCCAGCCCAGCTCGACCGATGTCCATGTTATGTGACACTAGAGATGAATGGAGAGATGGCGAGAAAATGAACCGAGCAATGCGAAAAGTAAATTTGTTTTTATTTTGTTTTTGAGATAACCAGGCGCTTGCACTTCGTTTGCTATTGAAGTAAGAAAATACATCAACGGAACCAACCGACGTGCATGAGAAACAAAAATAAAATGAAAAGACATGTTGATGTTCACGTAAACTCCACGTGTGTTATGCGTGCGCGTGTGTCTTGATGCTGTGAGATAAAAATTTATTTTTAACTTCAGCTCTCTCTGAAACACCAATTGACCGGCGATGTTCATTTCGATACAAAAGGCGAAAGAGAAGATTTGATGTTTTATGGAATTGGACGAATTAATTCACAATTTGTTCAGGTTTGTTTCATTTTCGAAAATATTCTACTGAACAGCCAACATGTGTAATGTAAGCCAGTTCTTAGTTAAAAAAAGGAAAAACGATTAAAATCAATCCAAAAATGGTAGAATTATCCAGTTCCTAAGCTGTTTACGAGTAAGAACATGGCTTATGGTTTGAAAAGGAAAACCCCTCCGTCTGATCTCCGACTAGTTTTGATTTCCATTTCTCTTTTATGAGCTCAGGTTTGAATCATTGTTGAAGTATCCAACTTTCAAATCTCATTTTAACCCAAACTTTGCTTCTCAACTCAAACAACAGCAGCTTTGAGAAATATTTTATTCAAAAATCAGTTAGTATGATACACGTATTTTTCAAAAAAGCTCGAGCTTATCCTTGCATAGCGGCTTCGATTTCTTGTCGAACATTAGCTGGGAGAGAGGTGAGAAGAGCGTCAATTTGTTGTCCCTTTTGTTGAACGGTAAGTCCTTTGTTGTTAGCAATGGCGGAGAGCTTGGCATCAGCGTCTTTGGCTGCTGGAGAGAATTTAGCGAGAGCGGCTTGGTGAGCTTGTTCTCCCTTGGCTTGTTCGTCGGCGACGGTCTTTTGGAATTGAGCGAATGCAGCCTGAAATTAGAGCATCCTCAAAAAATTCGTGTGAACTATGTTTACCTGAATGCTGGCGTCTTGCTTAGCAACCCATTTTTTGACTTCACTGTCAACTTGATCGTCGGTGTTGGCGGCGAGGCCTTCAAGAAGTTGACCAAATTCTTTCTGCTTAGCAGCTGGAGCTCTCTCAAGGAATGGTGGAGCTTGGCAGAGAGCGAGGGCAACAAGGCAGGCAAGAAGAGCGAATTTGAGCATATTTATAAAGTTGGACCACGAGTAGACTCGAGATGTGACAATTCTGTGACAGTTTGGTCCTTATATACAGATTTCATCGCGCCTTCCGACAACTCCTCCAACCTTAACGACCGGCAGTCAACTCCGCCTACATCTGGTGCTTTCCCCATCACCAACAGTAGCAGTTGAAATGATTCTTTGACGATCTTCTCACTTTTCTCTCCGTGTTGTATTAACTATTTCTTCAAAATTCTCTTTTTTGCGGCACTGTGAAAATGAACCTCTCGTTCATACTCTGTCATCTCTTTACCCAATAGTTTACAACAAGGACGAAAAGACAAGATGAACAAGAACAACTACCACGTCATTTTAAAGAAGATGACTGTCCATTTTTCGTGTATGTGTTGCTTCAGGTGACGCAGTTTGCTTTATGACAATTATATCAAGCATAGTTCGCCAGATGCTGGAGGGTTGATTGGTAATATGACTGTTTAGAAACTCTTAATTTGCCAAACAATACAACATCAAAGATCGTTTATAGGGATTATCTCGGAAGAAATATCTTTTCTTTTCTTCTCCAACAAAACAGTCTGTATTCTTTCATTTTCCCGCGAAAAGGAAAAGTTCAGACTGAAATTATTTTTTTTTCCTCATCGATCCACAAGTTTATATGAAACGTGAAAAGATTCAATCCAAGAAGAAGGTCATCTATCTATTTCCTGGTGTGAAAAACGAGGTGATCCTATCATAATACCATAGTGAAGGGGATTTTTAATATTTTCATGTCCTTTACGACTAATTGAATGACAAAAACTATTAAATAAACTGTTTCATTACGACAATTCGTCTGAAACAAGGAAGATGTTTGGATAAGAGAGTGTTGGAATCGGAAAAGTTTATTCGATGAATCCGATTTTTAATTCATAGACCAAGTTTTTGGTTAATGTTTCACTTCTGCTCGACCCAGAACCGAACAGATTCAAAACTTTCTCAGCGATTTTGGATCATATCTGATCTGTTACTTGGGGTATATCTAAGAATTCAACAATCAGTGAACTTTGAATCTTATAAGCCTAGGAACTCTGTGTGTCTTGTGCGCATGTGTGCTCACAAGAATTTTCTCCTAAGAACTAGATCTGCTCCCTAACTACTTCCAAACAGTTAAGAAAAGGTGAAAAAACGAAGAGCAAAGACTTCGATTAATTGTTCTCACTTGGAGACACACAAAGTTTCATTTAATCAAAAGTACATAAGCGAGCAGAAGGTTCTTTTATCAGTAACCTTCACCATTCTAACGATGAAACAAGAAGATATTGTAAAAAAAATAATAATAAATAAAACATTTTACGTTCACACCAGTACCGGTTTGCCACATAAGAAGAATCGAGAGAATGGGAGAGAGAGAGAAAATATGTTTTAAATAAATTTGAAATGTTATTCAGCTTGGCAATTGGTCTGAAGATTCTGGCTGGCAATTTGATAGTAAATATGCCAATAAATGGGAATTCGATATTGATCCTGATTCAGAAGATCTTGAAGGACTACATCTGAGGATTGTTGTGTACCTGGTTAGAAAAACGACATTCCTCCTTAATTTTTATATCTATTAAGGAACAACCTTTTGTTATGAAGACAGCTGAAGGCTATGAAGGATTTTGTATCGACCTTCTTAATGAAATGGCTTCTGTACTTAAGTTCAACTATACAATAATTGAAGTTCAAGATGGCAGTTATGGCATTGAAGTTTGTATAAACATATCTTTAACAACTTTTCAAAATTTCACAGGATGAAACTGGTAGATGGAATGGAATCATAGGGGTTCTACAAAGACATGAAGCTGATCTTTCAGTGTCAGCGGTGACTATCACGTACAGTCGCGTAGAAGTTGTTGGTATGACTTCTCCAGAAAACTTTTATATAAACTATAATTAAAGATTTTACTCTGCCTTTCATGCATTTGGGAATATCGATTTTATTAGGGAAGTCCAAAGAAGAGGCAGACAAGGTGAGAAATGATTCCGTAATATCAATTTTATCACATTTCCAGGGCTCCCTGTTTACTTTTCTGGAGCCATTGTCCTTCTCGGTGTGGCTTTCGCTGATAGTTGCCTACCTGTCTGTTTCCTTCTCAATGTACTTGTTGGCTAAATTCAGTCCATACGAATGGTTCCTTGAACTTCCGTTAATATAATCTTTTGTTTCCTCTCCTTCAGGTATGATATTGAGAAAATTGACGAGCGTGACAGGTCAATAGAAAATCAAAAGAATCAATTCACTGTTTTGAATTCTCTTTGGTTTGCTGTTGGTTCTTTGATGCAACAAGGGAGTGATGTGATTCCGAGAGCAGCAGCTACAAGAGTCATCGCAGTTATATGGTTAATAATTTAATATGTCAAAATTTAAACTATCACTTCAAGGTGGATGTTCACTCAAATTCTGATTTCCTCTTATACTGCGCAGCTTGCAGCCTTTCTAACCGGTTTACCAGCTTATGCTCTTCTTATCCATATTTATTGTTGTTTAGTTGAAAGAATGACAACACCGATCGAAAGCACAGCTGATCTGGCAAGTCAGCAGAAAATCCGTTACGGAACTTTGAAAAGTGGTAGTACAATGGATTTTTTCCGAGAAAGCAAAATCCCTATTTATGAGAGAATGTAAGTTTACAACCTCCGCTTTGTGAACATGGTTTATTGAAGGTGGTCCGTCATGGAATCTTCCTCACCCCCAGTATTTGTTAATTCTTCGAAAGAAGGAATCGCTAGAGTAAAAGCCGGTAGGTTTATTGACTACTCAATCCATTTACTCATTGAGTTAACCAGGGAATTATGCTTATATGATGGAATCCTCCATGCTAGAATATTATATGGAAAGAGATTGTGAATTGCAGAGTATTGGGGGCTTATTGGACTCAAAGGTATGTTTTGCTTGCAATTCAGGAAGCCAAGCAATGATTGAGTGTACCATTCTTAAATGCCAGTCTTGTTAACACATAGATTCTAGGGATACGGAATTGCTTTACCGAAAGGATCTCCTTTACGAGATATACTCTCACGGACTGTTCTACAACTTCAGGAAAGGACAATATTGGAAGCTTTGAAAAACAAATGGTGGAGAGATCGGCGGGGTTAGAATTCAATTTTCCGCAGATTAAACTTGATAATTTAACAGAAGGTCCTAGTTGTTCACTTCATCAGGAAACTCAGAAGTCCTCGCCAATGACAAATGTCTTCGGTTTGTCTTGAATTTTACAAACCAAATAATGAATGCATCATTACTTCCTCACCTTCGTCCTTTTCAGGAATTTTTTATGTATTAGCGACGGGTGTTATTGTTGCTTGTTTAATGGCTATTGGAGAATACTGTATAGAGTCACGTCATGACTCGTTCCGTCTGAAGCTTACCGTTCTTGGAAAAGTAAAAACATTATTTCCCACATTATGACAGAAAATGAACCTCTAGATAGTTGATTGGTGGAACGGAGTCTCAGATTCGGAACAAAAAATTGAGAAAAATCGAAATAAACTCCGGAATATGCAGCTGGATACAGCAGGTCAAGATCTTTCGAAAATGGAAAACGACAGGTTCATTTAAACTTCTTGAAACGAATATTTGTTGTATAGCTATTGTATATGGCTTTAATAATTTTTGTAAATCCATTCTATGTTAGAATTATGTAATAATGTATATGAAAGCATGTCCTATATGAGTAATATTGTTGTTCGTTCTTTATATTTATCACTAGAAACGCATAATCACGGACATGAAGAAACAAAACGATTTCTCTAAAGCATTCATCAGGAAAGAATAGATAACAGTTTAGATTAGGATTTATGGCGAGCATGAACGTTTATCTACATTATTATTTGATATTCATCTCGATTCTTTTCGCCTAATTATTGCAATATCACTTTAGAACTGAAGTTACAAATACACTTCCTTCTCCTCCTGCAGAAAGGCTGTGTGTTGTTCGAAGTAGGGGTAGCCGAGAACTGACTCAGACAATGATCTCACGGGAAGGATTGCGTCGTCTTTCTAGAATGCTCCCAGCTAATGATGAACAACTCATTCATTTGCGCATGAATTATAAAACTTAAAAGTGATTAATTATATTTGATTAAAAGTTCAATAGAAGTGGTTGATTGAGATTTTGTGTCCTTTCTTGTTTCAAAATTGAAAAAGCAATAAGGGAACGCTGCGGAATGAACTAATAAAGTTGATTCACAGAAACAGAGTCACTGACTTGATTACTATTTTGGAATTATAATCGGTTCAGTTTCATTGTCGTAACTTTTAGAAAAACTGATTCTATTTGAAACCCTCTAACGAATTAGCGGTCTTGCTTAGAGGTAGAGGGGGTCAAGCAACTTCTCTATTCTTTTCAAAAAAAAGTTGTCGAAAGTATTAATGAAAAAACATTGTTTGTATTCTCGGTATCAGAGTTGCTAATAAACGATATGATTTTGACCTGAACATTGTATAAATAATGATAATTATTGTAAACGTCAATCCCTTCAGCATACAAGCCATCATCATGTTGACCTCTAGGTGAGATAAAAGAATTTCCGATTTTCACCATTCCACCGATGGGATGGTACTTATGATCTCTGTTGATTACAAGGTCTATATAAAGACGTGTCAAATCATTATTAGCCATTACTTCGCCATTTGATTTTTTTCTTAAACCTTTTGTTCAAACTTCTATTTTGGTCACACAGTCTTCGAACAGTGTGAGTGAAAAGAAATCCTCAAAGTCAAACACCCTCTCATCTATAGTTACTATGTTCAGGAGTCTTTCTTAATAACAATACCTGTTTGATTCATCTTCAATAGAAAATTGTCTTTCTCAATATAGAACGAGTGAAATAAAGGTCATTTCCCAGATTTTCAATCTTCGTGACCAGCTCAATTCGTGAGAGACAGCACAAATTTTGTTACACTCTATCTTTTCGATTTGTTTGTCCATTTCTTTCCGAATTCATTGTGCCATTCAGTGCCACCATTCCACGGAAAATCAGTCGTTTTATCTGTTTGACCCCCAACCAGGAATCTAAATATCCTACCTTTCGAACAGGATTCTTGCATTGTCGACGAATGTACCATAACGGTGTCAATGCTCCTGCTGTGTTACTTCTCAACCCCAACTCTTATAAATAGAGGCAGAGATCATCAACAACGTCCTGAGCCATCTTTTTCATCGTTTCTGTATTTTTTTTGCCAAAAATTTTGACCGTTTTTGGTGAAACGACCGTTTCTTACATTCATTTCTATTCTTTCTTCTGAATTAGAAATTCTCATGTACTTTGGTGAATCTCATTGATTAAAACCTCTTTATCATCCTCTATCAAACTTAGTAAGTTTTCCTTACCATCCCTAGACGCGTCGCATACGCCCCGCTCATCCATTGTCGCAAAGCGAATGCCAACGTGGAGGGTGAAACAACGCGCAAAATTGTACAGTACGTTTCTTCTAATTACATCTAAGATATCCATAAAGATCATTTTTATTTCCCACAAATTCATTCTCTTTTCCATGTTTTTTCATTCCTCTAAATGTATAGTTTTCATTTTAATCGGTCAATTTTTCAGTGGGTATGTTGGCATTGGCTGTTGTCGCCCTCTTGGGCTTTGTCTCTGTAAGATTCATAAATTTATTATTATATTTAATTAACGGATTCTAGTTCTCTTCTGCTGCTGATACTGTTACTGTAACCAAGCAAGCTTATTTCGATATCAGCATTGGAGGAAAGCCTGTAAGTCGGAAGTTATGCTCTCGTCATCACCTCCAAATGTTCAGGCCGGAAGAATCGTTATTGGACTTTTCGGAAATGATGTTCCAAAAACCGCCGATAACTTCCTTCAACTCGCTACTGGCTCCAAGGGATACGGATACAAGGGCAGCAAATTCCACAGAGTCATCAAGGAGTTCATGATCCAAGGAGGAGATTTCACTCGTGGAGACGGAACTGGAGGAAAATCCATCTACGGAGAACGTTTCAATGATGAGAACTTCTCTCTTCAACATTATGGAGCTGGATGGTTATCGATGGCCAATGCTGGACCTGACACTAACGGTTCTCAATTCTTCATTACCACAGTAAGTATTGGTTAAAGAAGCCCGACTTATTTTTGTATTTCAGGTTAAGACCCAATGGCTTGATGGCCGTCATGTTGTCTTCGGAAAAATAATCAAGGGAATGGAAGTCGTGAAAGCTATCGAAGCTACTGAGACCAGACCAGGAGATAGACCAGTAAAGGATGTTGTTATCACCGACTCCGGAGAGATCACAACTGATGTCCCATTCGAGACTGCCAAAGAACCAGTCGTTTAAGAAGTTACTGATATATCTGCTGTTTGATCTTCTACAATTATCAATGTTTAAACGGGAAAGCAGCATTAATTACTGTTTTATTGTAATTTATTTAATGTGATACGTATGAAGAAGATTTCGTTTTTCGAGTTCATTTTAGTTTACTTTCTCATCTTACTTGCGTAAACATCAAGAAGAAATGCAAAGTGGGATTTCAAGATATTGAATGAGATGTCTTGCGGCTTTCAAATTGTTTTGAAACAAGATAATAACGTATTTGACAAAAAATTTCTTAGGAAGTTTACGAAATGAGGATGGTGATCCTCCGAGTGTGAGATTAATCAATTTTTTCATATGTAGTTTGATTGTGTTAAACTGCCCTTGTTACTCTGGAAGTTGTTGCGTTTGCAACCTTTATTCTATCGCAATTGGCAATTCTCATAGAAATTGCTTTACTTCTCCATTTTGTGATTGAGCTTTTATTCTTTTATTCCTCAGTTTACTTACTTAGTTTGTTTATTAAGCTCTGAGCTATCCTAAAACATTCAGTTCCTGCAATCTTAGTGAACATTCTACCATTCGAGAAGGTGCTGGGATTAATACGTGAAAATGAAAAAGATAATATAGTTTTCGTTTTATGAAAACATACTTTTCGATAGTGTATTTCCTATTCATGCTTTAATTGTGAGTTAAAAGCCGTCTCATTGCTCTACGTAATCAAGTTATCGTACACACAAACAGAAAAGCAGCATTAATATAATCAGAGGTAGATAGAGGATACTGCTTTTCTGACAGTACTGCTGTTAATGGTCGAAGATTGACTTCTTCCGCTATACTTCGGGGGCGAAAGTACATATTACGAGGAAGCTTGTTTTGCTATCGCTCATCTGAAATCACGTTGCGTTTGTTGTTTGTAAATGATGTTTGGTATTCTCTTTCCGATATGCTGTTCTAAGTTTTGAATCCGATTCTCCAGCCGAAAACAGTCATCATAAAACTGTGTGCAGTTGTCATGATTCTGCATCCCTCATAGAACTATGAGAACTGTTCCTTTGAGTTCCCCATTGAGACGCTTTTTTTTGCATTGTAAGATACGAGTGACCGCTAACACGTTTGAACAAGAAAAATAAGGTTCATTTCACATTCACGGTTCAAAAGGTACTTGGTGATTTTATGTCCGTTTTCCATTTTTCAATACCTATCAACGCATTCACAGTTTTCTGTCATTAACTTCCTTCTGTTCCTCAGAAAATCACGCCTAATGGCTGTGGACTTTTTGAGGTCTTCATACTTCTGCAAGCCTAGGTAGTGCTATGATTCCCGAAAATAACGTGCTATGCACGAACGCTCCAACTTTACTATTAGCACGAGAATGAATTTTTTGATTTCATTCTAATTTTCGAAAATTAAATTTCTCGGTGTCTCATATTGGTTTCATTTTCATGTTTGGGTTTCCTTTGAACGGTGGTGCAGTTTGTACCACGTGAAACGTGAGAGTGCGTTTGTGATTCATGCGTAGTAATGT